TCCTCCCGCACCATTCACTGCGTCTTCCTTGGCTTTGTTCCTGACGCGCATGGCTGGCAGTTTTACCACCCCACCTCGCGCCGTGTCTTCCCCTCTCACGACATCACCTTTGAGGAGCTGGTTCCTTTCTACCGTCTCTTACCCTACTGCACTGCCCCTCTCCCTCCACCGCCGCTTTTCCTCGCTCCAGGTCCCCCTCCGGTAGAACCCCTCCCCCCTCAGGGTCCTGCTCCTTCAGGTGTGTCTCAGGTAGACCCGCCCCCCTTGGCTGAGCCTGTAGAGGTCACTAGCGACTCAGGTGCTGCTGCGGGAGGTGCTGCTGGGGGTGCTGCTTCTGGGAGTGCCGAGCCTACGCGTGAGGTGCTGGGGAGTGCGGAGCCTGGGGAGTGCGGATCCTGGGGGTGCTGAGCCTGAGGTTGCGGAGTCTGGGGGTGCTGAGCCCGTCCGTGAGGTGCCAGGGGGTGCGGAGCCTGGGGGTGCTGAGATTGTTGGCGTTCCTCTAGGTCTCGTTTCACGACGCGGGCCTGTCTCACCACAGTAGGCACGAGAGTGGCTTGCGTTGCGTACCCGCCTGAGGGGTCGGGCTGCTGGAGCTGCTTGTCGTGGAGGCGCTAGGGGTGCTGGTGTCTCTGGTTCTGGAGGTGCTCGTACTAGAGGTACTGAAGTTGCCGGGACTAGTGCTGCTCCTGGAGCTGGAGGTGTCGGTTCTGGGGGTGCTGCTGCTAGAGATACTGGGGCTGGAGGTCCTATAGCTGGTGCTGTCGACCCTGAAGTTGGAGACCCTAGAGCAGGAGGTGCCGGTTCTGGGGGTGCTGCTGCTGGAGGTACTGGGGCTGGAGGCCCTAGAGCTGGTGCTGTCGACCCTGGCGTTGGAGACCCTGGAGCTGGAGGTGCCGGTTCTGGGGGTGCTGCTGCTGGGGGTACTGGGGCTGGACGCCCTAGAGCTGGTGCTGTCGACCCTGACGTTGGAGACCCTTGGGTTGGAGGTGCCGGTTCTAAGGGTGCTACGGTTGGAGGTCGTGGCGCTAGTCCTGTCGACTCTAGAGTTGGGGACCTTGAGGCTGGAAGTGCCGGTTCTGGGTGTGATGCTACTAGTGGCGCTCAAGCTGGAGGTTCTAAAGCTGCTGGAGGCGCTGCAGCTGGAGGTACTGCTGTTGGAGTCCCTGGAGCTGGAGGTGCTGCTGCTTGAGGCGCTGGAGCTGGAGGTTCCGGAGCTGCTGGAGGCGCTGGAGCAGGAGCTGCTGCTGCTGGAGTCATTGGAGCTAGAGAATTTGGAGCTGCTGGAGGCGCTGGAGCTGGAGGTGCTGCTGCTGGAGTCACTGGAGCTGGAGGTGCTGCTGCTGGAGGCGCTGGAGCTGGAGGTTCTGGAGCTGCTGGAGGCGCTGGAGCTACTGGTACTGGTGGCACTGCACCGTCGCGAATGTTTTTCGCTCTGCCGTCACCGTCGTCTCTGCCACCGCCTGACTCCGTACTTTGCTAGGTTCTTAGCCTCCCGTTTTCTACTGGCCTCCCGTTACAGCCTGGCACACCACTGCCTGCTCCTTCTCCTTACACTGAGAAGATAGAGTCGCTTACAGAGGTTCGTGAGCCTGCCTCTCATCCTGCCTCGCCTGTTCGCGTGCGTCGCACTGGCCGTCGTGTTCCTCATGAGCGTCCGCCTCTTGTCCCTGGCACGCACGTTATGGCACTTCGTCCTTCCTCTGTTCCATAGCGTGTTCCCCTACCGTCTCCTCCTACGTCTTCTCTGCCTGACGTTCAGGACCCTGAGTCTGACCTTGTTCGTGCCGCTCACCCTACTGTCACGCGTCTGCTCGCCACTGTTGTCACTGACCCGTCGTTTGAGTCTGCTACTGCGCCTGCCTTAGTCTCTGAGCTTCCTGACTTTGCTGCTGCCTGTCGTCTAGACTACCTTGCTAGTCTTGTTGCTGAGTCTGAGTCTGTCTGTCCTCCGTCCGTCGGGGGTGAGTGTGCTCTTAGCACGGACGTCCTTGAGGACAGGCAGGAGGACTTTGATTGTCTTGCAACCGGTGTGCCTCATCTCGTGGCCATGCTGCTTGCCCCTGAGGGAGACCCGGATGCACCAGACATCCCGACTCCGCGTTCTTACGCTGAGGCGATCGCGGGTCCCTACTCCTCTTAGTGGCAGACAGCCATGGACGCAGAGATGGCATCCTGGAAGTCCACAGGCACTTACGTCGATGAGGTTCCCCCTCATGGGGTGAACATCGTCGATGGCATGTGGATTTTCAGGGTGAAACGGCTGCCGGGTTCTCCGCCTATCTTCAAGGCTCGTTACGTTGCACGAGGATTCAGTCAGCGACAGGGAGTTGACTTCTTCTAGACCTTCTCACCTATCTCGAAGATGACCACTCTTCGGGTGCTGCTGCACGTTGCCGCTCAGCGTGACTACGAGCTTCACTCTCTGGACTTCAGCACAGCCTTCTTACAGGGCAGTCTGCACGAGGAGATCTAGCTGCGCCGCCCACCTGGCTTCACTGAGTCGTTCCCTCCTTGTACCCAGTGGAGCCTCCGTTGGCTAGTCTACGGTCTCCGTCAGGCGCCTCGTGAGTGGCACGACACACTGAGGACGACACTTACGGCTCTTGGGTTTACCCCTTCCACTACTCACCCGTCCCTGTCTCTACGCACCGACACTTCACTACCGTCGTTCTACATCGTCGTGTACGTTGACGACTTGGTCTTTGCCACTCCTGACACTGAGGCTCTCGCCCTTATGAAGTCAGAGCTGTAGAAGAGACACATGTGCACAGACCTGGGTGAGCTGCACAGTTACCTTTGCTTGCAAATTACCCGGGACAGAGCACGCCGCACTATCACCCTGACTCAGTCACACATGGTGCGGCAGGTCCTTCAGCGCTTCGGCTTCACTTTGTCTTCACCACAGTCAACTCCTCTGGCTACAAGTCACTCGCTCTCAGCTTCACCTTCGGACGAGTCCGTAGAGCCGAGTGGCCCGTACCCAGAGCTAGTGAGCTGCCTCATGTACCTGATGACCTGCACTCGTCTTGGGTACTGCGCTACTTGTGCAGTACATCGGGCATGGGGCTCGTGCTTGGAGGGCGGAGCTCAGTTGTCCTCACTGGACACTCAGACGCTTCTTGGGTTGACGACCTGGCTACGCAGCGGTCGTTACAGGGTTACACTTTCAGCCTTGGCTGCGGCTCTTTTTCTTGGCGGTCTACCCGCTCGTCTTCTGTTCTCAACTCTAGTTGTGAGGCTGAGATCTACGCCACAGCCATGGCTGCACAAGAGTTACGCTGGCTCACCTACCTGCTGACCGACCTGGGAGAGCGGCCTCGTTCTCCTCCAGTTTTGTACTTAAACAACAAGGCCGCCATTGCCTTGTGTCAGGAGCACTGAACGAAGCACATCGCTCTGCGTTACTTCCTGGCTCGAAAGTTGCAACAGCGTGGTCAGCTTCGTCTTGCTCACGTGGCTACTTGGGCCAACATTGCTGATATATTCACCAAGGCACTTCCGTCTGGTAATCATCAGCGCTTCTTTACTATGTTAGGCCTTGTTCCTGTTTCGTTTCACTTGCTCACTTAGTGACTTTGCTTGTACTGTGATCTATATATATTCCTACATGTTTGCTCTTGCTAGGTAGTGATCACTGTACTGTTGTTGCTGCATATATACCTCTGCATCTGAACTGGCCTTGTGGCCCTTTGCTTGTTATCGAGTGTGTGGTGGTGACGTTATGATCCACCCCGAGCTTGCTTTGTTTTTCTTGACTGGTCTTGTGACCCCTTGTTCTCCCCCACTTTGCCTATGGGGGTGTGTCAAACTATATATGTGTTAGTTCTGTGTAGGCTATAGTGGGGTAGCTCATATGGGGTACAACTCGTAGTTAGGGTTAATACTTGTACCCACATTTCATTCAATGCAATCATTCCTGCTTGCTATCTTGACAGTAGCAACCCAGCCTCTTGGCTCGGCTGGTAACCCGCGCTCAGGGCCTCCGCTTCGACACTTTCCCGACCTCAGTCACAGGCCCGTCGCACGTCAACCACAGTTCGTTACCGTTACCACAGTGGCCTCCGCTATTTAGTTCTCGCGGCCAGCAGGGCGGCGCGCAGGCAGGGCAGGGCGACACGCGGGCCGTAGGGCGGCGTGACACGCAGGGCAGGGCAACGCGCGGCCAGCAGGGCGGCGCGACGTGCAGGGCGGCGCGACGTGCACGGCAGAGCAGCGCGCAGTGAGCAGGGCGGCGCGACGGGCGGAGCAGAGCAGTGCGCGGCCAGTAAGGCGTCGCAACAGGCAGGGCAGGGCAGCGCGCGGCCAACAAGGCAGCGCGATAGGCAGGGCAGGGCAGGGCAACGCGACTAGTGGGGTAGGGCGCTACGGGCAGCGAACTAATCGGTGGGCCCTACAAAACAGGACCTGCTCTGAAACCATGTCAGAAACTAGACGAGAGAATGATTGCATTGAGAAGAAAGTTGGTACAAGTACTAACTCTAATTGGGTTGTACCCCTTATGGGCTACCCCATTACAGCCTACACAACTAAATTGTTATAATAGCTTGACATAATGAACACTAGAAGGTTAATTTAATTTACTGTACATATGAGGATGAAACATGGCGCACAGCACACTTTCCCTCATTCACAAAAGAGGAATGGTAATGGTAGTGATGGTGCCGACCCTGTCTTACTCATCCTCTAAGGGTCCGCTCTGGTATATGTAATTGAGAAACATGGCAATAACTTGCCAATGCTCCGTATAGTGGTTAGGCACGTAGTTGAGATTGTTCTGATCAGGGGTAAATCTACATTGCTGGTTGCGAAGGGTTTTTGTGGACACTGGAAGGTTGATATTTATTTTACTGTACATATGAGGAAGAAACATGGCGCACGCACACCACACCTTTCCTCATTCACAGAGGAATCGCAATGGCCCCGCCTAAGAGCAGAACGGCTGCCCCCCCCGCTAGCGTCGACACATATTCACAAAAAGCAGGGCAAAAATCCCTGTTTAGCTACACATAAAGCATGGCGCTCTCCAGCAGGTTATCACCTTAACCGCAGCAGCGGTAGGGAAAAAGTGCACTCGGTAAAGCGTTCGGTCTGTTCTTGCGGCGCGGCTGTCGCCACCGAGTTGGGTGAACCCCAGAGGTTGGACACGGCCCACCCTGATAGGCTTCCGAACCGTCCGCTCGATCGCCGTTTCCTTTCACTGGCGCTGAGCTCCTCCTGCTGCTGCGCCGGACCGACCGCGTCGTTTTCCACCGGCCTTTCAGCGCGTGCGACGGCGCCGCTCACACAGGTCGCATCGCCGTTAATACGCTCGTCCGAAGCCTCTTGTTTTAAAGTGCGAACTCTACGCACGGCGGAATTGCCTTGCGCGTTCTCAGATTCGCGCGCTTGCTCACAGAGGCTGCACGCATCGCTGCTGCAGCAGCTGTTGCTGTTGCTGACACTGCTGGTACTGCTCGAGAAAGAGGAAATAGTGGCGAGCCCTGCAGGGGTGAGAGGAGGGTCCGGCATGGAACAAGCCTCGGAAAAATCCCCCATAGCGTTGAGGAGATGCGGTTGCGTCACCGCCGCCGCCGCAGCGGTTGCAGCTGCTTGTGCCGCAGGCATTGACGCCGTGATTTCCGCCGCGTTTTGCGGGTCAGGCGATGTCTCGGGAGCGAAGTTGAGCGGAATGGTGGAATCGGTGTAGGCAGGGAGGATAGCGGATTCTGTCGTTTGCTGGTTGTCGGTCAACGTGGACGGGCAGAGAACGTCCACACACTCTTGCGAAAACCACTCGTTCTCCAGGACCTCGTTGATCGTGGGCCGTTGATTCGGGTCCACCGACATCATCCGACGGATGAGGTGCTTCGGCGCGTCGCTGACCAGACCCCATACAGGGTGCGTCCAGTCCCTCGACTCATCGAGCATGCGCTTGTTGTCTTTGAATTCAGGCCAGTTAGCCGATAGCATCGCGTATAAGAGCACGCCCATGCTCCACATATCCGCGGAGAAGTCGTACTCTTGCAACGCGAGAACCTCGGGAGCCTCGTACGGGAAGCTCCCGACGCAACCCTTGACAGTGCCGCTATCGGGGATACGCTTAGCGAGGCCAAAATCTCCAAGCTTCACGTCCCATTCGAATCCCCGCAGGCACCCGCAGTCGAGAGCTTCTGCCGTTGATGATTCGCCGCCTCCCGTCAGCGCGCAATGCTCGTCAGATTCACCATTCGAATCAGCAATCATTGCCGAGCGCGCGCGCAGGAGGATATTTTCAGGCTTGATATCCCGATGCACGATACCGTTCCCATGGCAGTGCTTCACAGCTTCGGCGATGGCTCGGAACACGTCCCGGGCCTCAGGCTCGGGAAGGCCGCTGCGCGTAGAGATCTGATTAAAGAGGTCGCCTGATGGAAGGAGTTCCATGAGCAGAAACACTGACGTGGCGTCCTCGTATACGCTGTCGAGATCAACGACGTTAGGGTGGCCACGTAGGCGCTGCATCGTCGCGATCTCCTGTAGCACGGCCTGGATACGCCCATTGGTGAGCCGCGCCTTCTTAATCTGCTTGCACGCGTAGTAGCGACCCGAGCGCTGCGACTGGCACTTCCACACGCGCCCGTACTGGCCCTGCCCGATGCTGCCCATGAAATCGAAATTATTCTGCAAAATCTCCGCCGAGAGGAAGCTCGAAGAGTTGGAAGAATGTAGCGCCGTGAGGTCGAAGTTCGATCCAGCTTTGCTGTCCCCATAACTGACGGCCATTTTCTGTTCGAAAAGCCTTTCGCAACGCACGAGTAGAAGGTTGAAGTCGTGAAAGTGCTTAAGTCGAACTGTCAGTTTTGACTACCTTCGTTGCGTTTCGTGCTCTTATCTCGAGTCAATAAGATAAGTCGATCGTCCCATGCCTACACAGAGCGTCAGATTCGGCACTGAAGCTCGAGGTTGATAGCTTTGTGAGTGGCGAAGCCAGATTTTGAATGGCACACGCGTCCAGCCTGTTGCCTGCAGCACTACGAGAGAAGCAACGGTGGCGAGGCGACACAAGGTGAGGCAAGGTGAGGTGAGCCAACAAGAATCCAACCAGGCCTTGGTGAATTGATTCACTTCCCCCCTTGAACGCCATTCTCGGGGGTCGGTTCAGGTTGGGATTTTGCTCACCTCTCCTGTAAGAAACTTGTTTCTCGCTCCCGCTTGGCGCTCTTTCATAACTTTCCCCCCTAGCCCCACTTTCTATGCAAGAGCGTGCTGAACGATGCCACGACAGCAAGCTGAATCTGGCGAGCAACTCTTTCAAGGACAGCTGTGGGTATCTGTCCGCCCCTCGCCATCAATTTCTTATAGAGTCCCAATCAGACCCGATTTTTTTGCAAATATCTACAGTAATGCTGAGAAAATTGCACCCGACAATCGAGGACACGGGGCTGTGGTGTCACAAGGGCAGTCGTCTGCTGTCGTCAGGGCCGTTTCCCGTTTCATTCGGCCAGGGCACAGCCGGATGTTTTCGACTCGAAATTGAAGCCCAGGGCAGCTTGAGGAATTCACGTGCAACGATTTGGAGCAAGGCGGCGGACCAACCACGTCCTCCACCTCCAAATCAAGTCCTGATTCGGCAGCACGACGACCACGGGAATCAGCGAGAGGTGTCGAGTCGACGTTTTGAGCGCTACAAGGCTCACCCGTTATGTATTACCTAAAGAGGTATGGTGGAAATTGACCAATGAAATCATACGTTAATAAACATGAAGTTGCAGCAAACCCGCCATAATATATCTGAAATTGCATTGAATCCCCTTGCCGATTACTGGTTATGCCGATTAACATTCAATTATTAACGATTTGGGGCTACAAACCCACGCTGCACCCAACACTTGAACACATCGATGTAAAATTGAATATCAACAGCGCAAATTAATACCGTACAGTGTAATTATGCATAGCTACACATCCATATCTTCTAAAAGCTCATCTGTTCTTGGGCAAACACCCATCTTACTCTCCCCAAGTTTTCCAGCCTCCACACCACCACCACCATTTCCTCTTGATCCATGGCTCAAATCAAAGGCCGAGGGCCCCAAAAGCGATTCTAAAAGTGTCCGGGGATCCCCCGCCCCTCCGTAGCGTAACAAGTGCGAGCGTAACAACTCTCCTGCCTCCGGATTGAGGGGGTCTTCTTCGAAAAGGCGCCTCCAAAGCTGCGCTGCAAAACACTTGGCATAAATGTAGGTGTAGTAACCTGCATTCGGAACATTAAGAGTGAGAACGTAGCGATAGCAAGAGAGAGGGATTGGTGGACTAAGAACGAACTACGTAATAAGAGGGAGTAGTGTAAGCTATGGTGGCTAGAAGTGGGTAAAGGGGAGTAGGGTGAGAGAGGGGACGGGGCCAAGGAGGAATGACCAAAACGTGTGGAACAGAAAGCAAGCAGGAAAAGCTGGGAAGCAGCAGTAATGTGAATAGCACAAGCAAGAACAAGAGAGGAGGCAAGTAGGCAGGCGAGCAGGCATGCGAAAAGGCACACAGGCAGGCAAGCAGGCACGCAAGCAGGCATGAAAGCAGGCACGCAAGCAGGCAAGCAGGCACGCAAGGAGGCAGGCAGGCAAGCAGGCAGGCAAGCGCGCAGGCAACCCTATTCACCTGCACCATAGGCCGTGAGATGTGCGAAGCGTGACTGCCAGTACGTGCCAGGCACATGAGCCACACCCATATATCTCCCCATTAAATCCGCCATCACTGCTGTTGTGTCCCCTCCACTCCCACCGGTCCCGCCCCCACCAGCACCACCACCTGCTGCTGCTCCTGCTGACATGGCTGCAGCAGCTGCTTGTGACGATAGCGAAGGCGTTAGTAACGAGGATGTGGGGCGCGGGGGGTTTACACCGAAATAAGCTTGGTCCATGAGAGAGTAGACTACCTGGAAAGAGGGTAGGTAAGGGGATGCAAGGTTAGGAAGGGATATTTCCACAACACAGCACCACCACCCTCACTTCTCTCCACCACCGGTGAATGAATCAAGCTCTACTGCTCTCTACTTTATGCGCACATTTCCGACCGAGAGGTCGAATCCTATTGATAGTCTGAGGGTTAATTGCAGTCACACAAAGACCAACAGGGACCACCCTTGGGATTTACTTGTGTCTGGAGGTCGGAGGCAGCGAGCATGGATTTGGACGCCCTGAGGGAGTCCACGAGGGAGCGCGGGATGGGCTCGCCCGTGGAGTGGTGCACTGCGAACTCACCCAGGAAGCGATGGTCCCACACAAAGTACCTGCGGGGGAGGGGAGAGGGCGATGGCGATAGGGAGAGAGGGAGAGAGGGGTATCAGGTTAAATTATGGCCAGAAACGGTTGGGGGGGGGGGGGGGGGGGGGGAGTGTGAGGAAGAGGATTGCGAGGGGCAGAGTGGGCGTGCCTCTGTTTTTTGTTTTTTGTTTTTTTCTTTCGTACACAACCAGCAGATTTATAAACCGTTACACCATGAAGCCTTGAGCACGAAATGCAAACTCACTCTAGCAGGTTGGAGGGCACTTCCACAAAGTCCAATGCTGCTCTCGTTCCCGATAGATGCTGGAACGCCTGTGGGGGTAGAGGGAGCCGGCGGGGATGACGAGGGGGGGGGGAGGAGGAGGAGTGGGAGTGGGAGTGGAAGGGGAGGGAAAGGGGGAGTTTGTGACGGGTAAGCGGTAGCAGATGAGGGAGATGTGGACGGCTTTTGCACGATGAAGGAATGGGAGAGGGGAGATGAGGGGACGCAGAGGGGGAGGATGTGGCAACCCCACGTACGGTGCGGGAGAGTAGTGAGTGCAGCGCGTGGCTGAACTCGTGAAAGAGAGTCTCCACATCGTGGAGAGTTTCCACGTCGTGGAGAGTTTCCACGTCGTGGAGAGTTTCCACGTCGTGGTGTGCCAGCAGCAGGTAGGGCGAGGAGACGAGTTTTGAGGTGCCTCAAAACTCTCATGGAATAGCGCCTCCACCTCGTGGTGCGCTAGTAGCAGGCATGGCTGATCCCTAATGTGCCCCCTCAATCAACCTCAACAAAGAACTAGCACGTGGCAAACTGCACACAGCACGCATGACACATGGCACATGGCACATGACACATGGCACATGGCACATGGCACATGGCACATAACAGCGTGACGTACGGTGCGAGAGAGCAGCGAGTGCAGCGCGTGACCGAATTCGTGAAATAGAGTTTCCACGTCGTGGTGTGCCAGCAGGCAGGGCGAGGAGCGGGAGGATGCTGCGAAGTTGCATACGAGTGCCACGACCTGGGAGTGGGAGGTGGTGGGGAGTGGTGGGGAGTGGTGGGGAGTGGTGGGAGGAAGAGTGAGTCTCCACGTCATGACAAGGGGAGGGCTAGACAGCACGGCTATATTGAAATCACTTTTGAGTCGACTCAAAAGTGCTAGCAGGCACGGCGAGGAGCGGGCTTTTGAGTCGACTCAAAAGTGCTAGCAGGCACGGCGAGGAGCAGGCTTTTGAGTCGACTCAAAAGTGCTAGCAGGCACGGCGCGGAGCGGGGGGACGCCGCAAAGTTGCACACCAGCGCTACGACCTGGTGAGGAGAGGTGGTGTGTGTGTGTGTGAAAGGGGGGGGGGGGGGGGGAGTGGGGTTTGAGTTTGAGGGTGGTGGTGGTGGTGATGTGGGGTGGTGCCGGGAGGGAGGAAAGTGCAAAGAGCATGAGATGCTGCGGCCTGCAAATATTGCATCAGGAGACAACTCGGCACAACACAGCACAGCCCAACTTACCGGCAGTTGGTAGCCGTCACTGCTGCTGCTGCTGTTGCTGTGGGAGCCCGTCGAGGAATGGGGGAATGGTAGCAGGTGGCCTTTGCTGTCCAGAGGCAGGTGCTTCCTGCGCCCGCAGCGGATGGTGAAATGCGCTGCATGGGAGAACTTGCCCCTCCGCGGGTGCAGGTCCAGGTAGATGAAACCAAGAGGGCCCTGTTGAGGAGGGGGGAGGAACAAAAGGGGGAGGAGGGTGGGTGGTAAGGAGAAGACTTCAGAGTGCGGGATGGTGAAGTGCGCTGCATGGGAGAACTTGCCCCTCCGCGGGTGCAGGTCCAGGTAGATAAAACCGAGGGGGCCCTGGTGAGGAGGGGGGGAGGGGGAAGGGGAAAATAAGGGTTGTCGGGCGGGGAATGTGGGATGGTGAAGTGCGCCGCGTGGGAAAAAATGCCCCTCTGCGGGTGCAGGTCCAGATGGATGCAGATGCATGCAGATGGATGCAGATGGATGCAGATGGATGCAGATGGATGCAGATGGATGCAGATGCATGCAGATGGATGCAGATGGATGCAGATGGATGCAGTCGAGAGGACCCTGGTGGCAAGGAGGGGAGAGGAACAAGGGGAGGAGGGTGGGTGGTAAGGGGAAGACTTCAGAGTGTGCCCCACGTGGTACCGTCCACCACATGGCACAAAACACCCCCAACCCCTCCTCACCTAGTCGACGTGTGTGAGGGATAACTTGGTCACGTCAGGCGCCCACACCTCCCCAGGCGCCGTGGGCAACGTTTGAGACGTATCAAGCCTCAAAAGCCGTCCCCATCCCCACCAACCAACCCCCACCCCACCCTCACCTGGTCGACGTGTGTGAGGGAGAACTTAGTGACATCAGGCGCCCAGGCCTCTCCAGGCGCCGTGGGCACCGGCTCTAGGTGGGCGTTGAAGAGAGACTTGACCAGCACTGCCATGCCGCGCACACACGCGTGCAGCGGGAAGTAGGACGAGATCACCTGGTGGTGGGTGTTGGGGGGATAAAGAGGGGCGTGGGCGTGTGAGGGAAAGGAGGGAAGGGGCGAGCACGTGGCTGGGTTGATGCGAAGCACACAAGGCAGCAGCCTGCAGGTGGACGTTGAAGAGGGATTTGACCAGCACTGCCATGCCGCGCACACACGCGTGCAACGGGAAGTAGGACGAGATCACCTGGTGGTGGGAGTTGGGGACGGAAATGGGCGTGGCAATAGCCGTGTGTGGGGAGTGACGGGGGTTGGAGCAGGGGCAGGGTTGGGTGTGCGAGGAAGACAAGGCAACAAGTGGACGTTGAAGAGAGACTTGACCATCACTGCCATGCCGCGCACACACGCGTGCAACGGGAAGTAGGACGAGATCACCTGGTGGTGGGTGTTGGGGGGATAAAGAGGGGCGTGGGCGTGTGAGGGAAAGGAGGGAAGGGGCGAGCACGTGGCTGGGTTTGATGCGAAGCACATAAGGCAGCAGCCTGCAGGTGGACGTTGAAGAGAGAGACTTGACCAGCACTGCCATGCCGCGCACACACGCGTGTATAGGGAAGCAGGAAGAGATCACCTGGTGGTGGGAGGATTGTGGGTGGTCATGTGGGGGAAAGGGGGTGGGGTGGGGGTTGGAAGGGTTTGGTTGGGTTCGAGAGCGCACCCTCCCCAGCACTGCCATGCCGCGCACACACGCGTGCAACGGGAGGCAAGAAACGATCACCTGGTGGTGGGTGTTGGGGATGGGCGTGGATGGGAGTGGCAAAAAGCGTGTGCAGGGCCAGGAGAGGAGGGACATTTGAGAAGCAACAGCAACAGTGGCGGCAGTAGCAGCATGAGCCGTAGCAGCATGAGCCGTAGGCCGTAGCAGCATGAGCCGTAGCAGCATGAGCTGTAGCAGCAACAACAGCACCTGCAACGGCAGAACTTGCCACGCTCCATCCATCCCACCCATCCCCACCCTCCCTTCCCCCCCAAACCCCCCTCCCCACCGCTCACTCGTGAGTCGAGGTGGAAACGTCTGGCCTTGGCAAGCCCAGAGAAGAAAGACCGGTCCCACGCATGCAGCACTGCTGAGTCTCCCCCACCGCCGCTGCTGCTGCCCCCGCCTCTGCTCGCACCCCTCCCTCCCCTGTGCTGTCGCTTCAGCACCCCCAGCTGCTGCAGCTCCTGCCATACGAGAGACAAGACAGCGCCGACCAGGGTTGAGGGCAAATGCAAGCGTTTGAGTTTTGAGTGCTTGAGTGCTTGAGACTCATAAGTCAACTCCCAGCTGCTGCAGCTCCTGCCATAAGAGAGACAGTGCCGACCACAGGTTTGAGGGAAAACACAAGTGCTTGAGAATACTGCCTTTCTTGTACCTTACTTCCTGCCTGCCTGCCGTAACTCATGGCTTGGAAGAGCGGCAGTACTAAGGAAAGCTTTTAGCAAGAAAAGAAAGAGAGTTACAAAACCCTTGCTACAGAATTCTAAAAGCAAGAAAACACAAGTGCTTGAGAATATTGCCTTTCTTGTGCCTTACTTCCTGCCTGCCTGCCTTTCCTGTCCTGTCCCCTCACAAGCTCCCCTGAGCTGCTGAGCGCTCAGTTTGTGCAGAAAAGCCTCTTGTTTCATAACAGGAAGAGGTACCGCTTCAACGTAAACATCTGATCTGGGGACATGAAATGATGTGATGTGATGTGATGTGATGTGATGTCATGTGATGTGATGTGATGTGATGTGATGTGATGTGATGTGATGTGATGTGATGTGATGTGATGTGATGTCATGTCATGTCATGTCATGTCATGTCATGTCATGTCATACTCCTTTCCGGTAGTGAGCTGTGCGTGCAGGTTGTGCAGAAAAAAATGTTTTGAGACGTCTCAAAACACTTCTTCAAACATGTGCAGGTGTGCAGAAAGAAGTGCTGCTTTTGAGGCGCCTCGAATGTACCAACAACACTGATGCAGCACTTGTAACTGGCACATGATACGGCACTTCACAGGCGCAGCAACTCCCCACCTGGAAGACCTTGGGAGGGAGTGAGCTGCGCTCTCAGGTTTTGAGACGTCTCAAATCCCTTCTTCAATCCAGTGAGCTGCGTGCCTTGTGCAGGAAGGAGTTGGACCATGTGTCACACAACATTGACGCAGCACTTGTAACTGGACGGCTCACCATTCTTTTCCATGTCTGCGGCACCCCTCTGCTCGTGAACCCACCTGGAAGACCTTGGGTGTGAGCTGTGCTCCCAGGTTGTGCAGAAAGGAGTGCTGCATTTGACCGGCACGCAGCACTTGTGACCGGCACAAGGTGCTGTACCATACTTTTCACTGGCAGAAGAACCAACGCCACGCCATCCCACCTGGAAGACCTTGGGTGTGAGCTGTGCTCCCAGGTTGTGCAGAAAGGAGTCAACAGTGTCGGGTGTTCGGGCCATGAGAGGCGCATTGATGAGATGTGCGTATGAGGGGAAGCTCAGCTCCTGTATAGGAGGGGTTAGGAGAAAAGGGAGAGAAGTGGGGCCTTTTGAGTGAACAGGAGTGTGTTCTGGCCATAAGGGGCGCATTGATGAGGTGCGCGTATGAGGGGAAGCTCAGCTCCTGGCGATTTGAGGAGGGCAGAGACGAGTGGGAGGATAGGAAGGAGTGAAGGCCCTGTTGAGTCGACAGTGCCAACTCTTGAGGCGCCTCACAAAGTGTTCTGGCCAGAATGTGCACACGAGGGGAAGCTCATATCCTGGTGGACGGGAGGGGTGGGAGGGAGGAGTGGGAGGAGTGAAGGGGAGGGCGAGTGGGGGTCTAGGTAGGAGTAAGCGGACTCATAAGAATCAAAACAGGTGTGTCAGGTGTTTTTTGAGTCGACTCAAAAGTGTTCTGGTCATGCGTAGGCGCGTAGTGTTCTGGTTGATGACATTCGTTCATGATGGGAAGCTCAGCTCCCCAACGTAGGAGCTGAGGGGAGGGTAGGAGGGGAAGGTAGGAGGGGAGGGAGTGAAGTGAGGCCTTATGAGTGAACAGGAGTGTGAGGGGTTCTGGCCCTGAAGGCCGCTTTGATATGAGATGCGAGTATGAGGGGAAAATCAGCTCCTAGTTGGAGGAGGAGAGGAGAGGGGAGTGAGCACCCTCAAAACGACAACTGGCTGTCTCGCCAAGGTGACTTCTACTGAGACTGGTGAATTTGGAGGGCGCACACGTTGGCGAGCTGGTGAGTTGTGTGCACACAGGCCAATGAGGCGGCTTTTGAGTCGACTCAAAAGCGAGTTGGTGAGTTGTGTGCACACAGGCCAATGAGGCAGTCCAAGTTCCAACCAACTGGTGCAGGTTGGATCCAGAGTGAGTTTTCCGATTAAGGTCAAACGGGTTGGTGACAGGGCAGGGCGCATAGCTTGGTAAGCTGAGAGCGCAGGTCGATGAGGCGGTCCACCTGGTGCAGGTTGGACTGGGACTACCTTTCCCAATGAAGGTGACAACTGATAAACACTTGAGACTGGTGGGAGGGGGTACCTTGGCGAGCTGCGAGCGCAGGTCGATGAGGCGGTCCAGCTGGTGCAGGTTGGACCCTGGGGAGGCGTTGGCTAGTACGTACACCCGCCGACGCACCTGTGGGATGGGGTGTGGTGTGGTGAGATGGGATGGGATGGGATGGGATGGGATGGGATGGGATGGGATGGGATGGGATGGGATGGGATGGGATGGGATGGGATGGGATGGGACGGGACGGGATGGGATGGGATGGGATCGGATGGGATGGGACGGGAGGGGATGGGATGGGATGGGATGGGACGGGATGGGATGGGATGGGATGGGATGGGACGGGATGGGATGGGATGGGATGGGATGGGATGGGATGGGATGGGATGGGATGGGATGGGATGGGATGGGATGGGATGGAATTGGATGGGATTGTTTGAGAAGTCACAACAGCCGCACGGCACACACAGACAGACCTCTTGTTCAGCATCACATCAACCCATTTGAGGCGGTTTAAAAAGCAGTGCGGCAAGGCACGCATGGCATGGCACGCCACGGCAAGAAGTGGCACGGCACAGGATGGCACACGGACGCAGCATATGTTTTTTGAGAATTCTAAAAAAAGCATACAGGATGGCGCACGGACGCACATACCTCTTCGTCGTCCACCCATTTGAGCACGGATGATGTGACCAACGGGTCTGAGAACACCTTGTATCCTTGCTCCTTGGCTGCCCCACTACCACCGGAACTGCCACCGCTGCTGCTGCTGCCGTTTCTTCTGCTGCTGCTGCTGCTGCTGCTGCTGCTGGTGCCATTGCTCCCGGTTCCTACATTCTCCATGCCTTCTGTTCCCTCCCCGGCACTACTGTGGGGAGAATCAATGCTACTGCTGACCCTAGAGCTACTGCTGCCTGTACAGGGACCACCGTTGCTGGTGCTGCTGCTGTTGTGACTGCTGTCACTGCTGCTGCTGCCACTGCCACTGCCACTGCCACTGCTGCTTGTTCTACCCTTGCTTCGCTGGATGGGCTGTAGCATCGCATGCACGTTGGGAGGCAGCGCGTGCAGGGCACTGCGCGGAAAGACCTCTATGGAGGCCGAGTCAGAGTGGATGTTGGCGTTGAACCTGTGGGGGAGAGGACGAGAGGGAGTGGTGGAGAGGGGAGGGAAGAAGGGAAGTCAAAGACAGCAATACCCAGTAGAGACGATTTTTGAGGCGCCTCAAAAATCGTCTCATGACTTAGGGGGGGCTGCAAGGTCAAGGCTCAATAGTGAGTGAGTCGGAGCAGATGTGGAGGAGGAGCGGGGGAGGAGGAGGAGGAGGAGCGGGGGAGGAGGAGGAGGAGGAGCGGGGGAGGAGAAGGGGAGAAGGGAAGAAGGGAAGAAGAAAAGAAGGGAAGACAAAGGGAGCAATACGGGGGGGGGGGCTGCAAGGACAAGGCCGAATGACTTTTGAGTCGACTCAAAAGCAGACAGGCACCCTAAGCCTGCTTTTGAGTCGACTGCAAAAGCAGACAGGCACCCTAAGCCTGCTTTTGAGTCGACTGCAAAAGTCAATACGGGGGGGGGCTGCAAGGACAAGGCCGAATAGTGAGTGATGAGTGAGTCGAAGCGGATGTGGAGGAGGAGGAGCGGGGGGGAAGAAGGGAAGGGAAGAAGGGAAGTCAATAGACAGCAGTACGCAACGCACGAAGGGAATGACAGTAGTGTAAGTAGCAGCAGGCACGGTAACAGAGAAGGTTTTTGAGGCGCCTCAAAAGCAGGCATGGTAGCAGAGAAGCAGGAATGATAATTTCTTGCTCTTGCTCTTGCTCCCTCTCGCTCACTCACTCTTCCACCCACTCTTGCTCTTCCTCTCACGCCCACTCACGTTCCCTTCTCTTTCTCACTCACTCTATTGAAGTGTGGGTAATCTCCCCTGTCAGTCGCTGCACCTCCTCCCTGCGGTCTGCACCCCCCCACACAATTACATACACAGCAATGGCGCATGGGGGAATGAGGGGACGCAAGATAAGAGGAGAAAATCATGAAGGGAAGCGTCAGTCAGTTAGAGGCAGAGTCGACTATAACCATACAGCTCTCCTTCACTCTGAAAATTCGGCACCCCACCAAGTGTTTAAATAAAAAGTAAGTCCAGAAATAGCGGCTGAGCAAACCGGTGAGCCTCCCTCCCTCAGTAAAGTACCTCATCCCTCTCCCTCTACTACCCTCACAACCCCCTTTGAGACGTCTCATCTCAAGAATACCTTCAACACATTCTCACCGTCAGGGAGGCGCACGCCCCCTCGTTCAAAGTCCAGCCGCAGCAGCTGAGCTAGCCGGTGGGCCTTCCTCAGTACAGCTAATCTGTCCCCCTCGCCCTGCTATCATAAACCCCCTCTTTTAGGCTTCTCTAAGAGTCCTTTTGACAAATCCTCTTCCTGAAAACGAGCTCACCAGCAGCGAGATGCACGCCTCCTCGTTCAAAGTCCAGCCGCAGCAGCTGTGCGACTCTGTGGGCCTCCCTCAGCGCCTCTCCCTAGTACCCCCCAACCCCTGCCTGCCCTACTGCCGTCACAGACAGCGCCCGTTTTGGGACGCCCCTAGAGTCCTTTTGACAAGAGTCCTCACCATCAGGGAGATGCACGCCTCCTCGTTCAAAGTCCAGCCGCAGCAGCTGAGCGACTCTATGAGCCTCCCTTAGCACCTCCTCCCTCTCCCCTCCCGCTCCTGCTGCTGCCCTCCCAGCCCCCTGCGGGCGAGAGTTGCGACCGGGCGGCGGGGAGGAGGCAGAGGCGGCGGGTGCGGGCGGCATGGCTTGGATGGCAGCGACTAGCAGACGGTAGAGCTGCTGGTTGGAGTTGAGGGCCTGGGAGGGGGGAGGGAGGAGAGAGAGGGTGAGGCAGAAATGAGGGGGGAGTGAGGAGAGGAGAGAGGGAGAGGGGTGCACCCGTTGCTTACTTTTTTTTCCACTTTACCCCCTCCTCCCTTCCCCTCCCTCGGCGTTGTCACAAGGACAAGGCGTCAAGGGGGGTATGGCATGGCACAACATGACATGGGACGGTATGGTATGGCATAGTATGGCATGGCTGCATGCATAGCATGATAGTGCTAAGAAGTCTCAAAACTCACCTGAACATATGTTGACAGCTTCACAAACGCCTCATTGGCTGCGCCTACAAACTCCCTGCGCACAGTACCACTGTATGGCAGAGCATGGCATGGCTGCATGCAAAGCATGATAGTGTTGCTGTGCTGCGCAGTCTCACAACAACTGACCTGAACATATGTTGACAGCTTCACAAACGCCTCATTGGCTGCGTCTACAAACTCCCTGCGCACAGTCGCACAACCACCACCACTGTCATCATCATCACCAAAACAAGTGATACATATCAAAACAATGTGATCATTAAAAAAAACAGGTCATACATATCACAAAAAAGAAATTCAGAATTATCACAATCATCACCAGGGTTTACATACTTGAGAGAGAGAGAGTTTTAGGGTTTCAGGTTTAGGGCATGTGCATGAGCCAGGGCATGGGCATGGGAATGAGCATGAGCATGAGCGTGTGTGTGCCGTGCCGTGCTTACCTGTTGGGATGCACGTTCCGGCAGAGCTCTGCTGCATCCAGGACTCGACACAGCTGCACGGTGGGGATTCAGGAGGGGTGGAGAGGGGTTCAGCGGGGTGAGAGGGAGATGTGAAGGTGCCGTGACAGAGCTCTGCTGCATCCAGGACTCGACACAGCTGCGTGGTTGGTTTTTGTGGGAGGCAGGGGAGGGGTGGGGGGGGGTGGGGGTGGAGATTGAGAGAAGTGTGGGGGATTTCTGGGATGCACGTTCCGGCAGAGCTCTGCGGCATCCAGGACTCGACACAGCTGCACAGACGAGAGTCAAAAGCCAAGGGGTCGGATCGGAGGTAGGGTAGGGTTAAGCGCGATGTGGGGGGGTTGTGAGGCGCCTTGATAGAGCTCTGCTGCATCCAGGACTCGACACAGCTGCGCCGTTGGGATTCAGGAGGGTGGGGGGGTGGTTCAGCCGCGTGTGGGGGAGTTCTGAGGCGCCTTCATAGATCTTTGCTGCATCCAGGACTCGACACAGCTGCGTCGTTAGAAATTTGGGAGGCTGGACTGGACGGGTTGTGGTGTGGGTGGTGCGGGGGGAAGCGGAGGTGCGCACAACACACTCACATCACATGTGCATAGCCTATCACTCAAACCAGAAGCACCCACAGGAGTGAAGGCAGGTACAGCAAAGGTACCCTGCAATGCACATTCGCACCCATTCACGTACAGTGTCGCTCATCTCGTCCAGCAGAGCAGACACACACACGGTGCGCAGAGGGGGAGGCAGAAGGAGGAAAAGCAGGGTCTCATACCCTGGTGCCATGCAATACTCATTCATTCACGTACAGTGTCGCTCATCTCGTCCAGCAGGCATACGGTGCGCAGAGATGGGGGTGCTGCTGCTACCTCCTGCAGTAGAGCCTCCGTCCTGCCCCGCGCACCGTGCAGCACCATACAGCACCGCACATGCGACGAGGGGGAGAAGAAGAGGGGGATAGAGGAAAGGGGGGGGGGGATGAGGGGGGGAAGAACAAGACAAGGTAACTTACCAATCGACTCAAATCGAGGTGACTCGTGAGTCGACTCAAAAGCCCTTAAACCATCCCACAGTTAAGGCGCTCAGAAAAGAATCCCAAACGTTCGAAGCAGGGCATTCTTTCGCAAGACAAGGTGACTGACTTCCTTCCAAGTCGGCGCACAAGTCGACTCAAAAGTCGACTCAGACGAGGAATAATACTCACCTAGCAATGGCGTTGGCGGCCATGCGATGGAAACCCTTCGGCTCGCTCAGCTCCTCGTGACCAAACAGCCCCGTCTTTTGAGACGTCACAACAATCTCCTACTTTCAAGCGGTTTTGAGGGACGTCAAACAAAGAATCCCCACCCACCTAGCGATGGCGTTGGCGGCCATGCGATGGAAGCCCTTCGGCTCGCTCAGCTCCTCGTAACCAAACAGCCCCGTCGTCGCCCGCACCCGCCGCACCTCCACTCCCGCCATCGCCGCCGCACCTCCCACCGCACTCCCCGCCGCATTTCCTGCGGCGGCGCTCCCGGCCAGGCCGTTATTAGATCTATAGAAGCGTCTCGTCTGCCCTTGAGCGGCAACAGGTAAGCAAGGGACCACTCCTGCCCTCCCGTATCCTCTTCGTACCGATCCTCCCGCCACAGATCTCAGCCCCCTTGCCGAGCCTGCTGCCCAACCAGATGGCAAGCTTTGTCCCCAACCTGTTGCCGAGTCTGTTCCAGGCCCGGACCCGAAGTCCGCGTCCGAACCAACTGTCAAACGTGCACCGGGTCCAGCTCTAGCTTCCTCTCGCACATCTCTCCTCGAACCAGCTCCTAGGCCAGACCCTGATCCAACTCCCGTCGCCTGTTCCGAGCCTTCTCGCCGAGGCTGAATCGCAGGCTCGGCATGATTCGACGCAACAACGAGCTTTCGCAGAGGAACGGAACCTCCGCCACAGGCGCGCTGGTAATTGCGGCGAGAAGCGGCGGCGATCGCGTGCGAAACGAGCGACGAAATGGGCTTTCGTCGATGCATGACTACCAAACAGCACCGCGTCGCCTTCCTTCACGATCGGCAACTGTCGGACAGACAGACAATCGCCGTGAATCACGCGGATCACTCAAATCACGCCGATCAAGCCAAGCACTCAAGCCACTCGGATCATTCAGATCACGCGAGTAACTCGAATCACTCGAATCTCCCAAACACTCGCATCAATCACGCACAACCGTCGGGTAATGACTGAGACCATATGCGCACACTACCTGAGAGCTTCGCACTGGGCTAGACCTGTACTACACTGCAGGTGTAATAGCAAGAGGCAGGTTCATTCGCTCGTGCATTCCCAGAGAGTGGTCTAGAGTGGATGGCGGGCGGTGCTTTCGACTTGCACGAGCGCCTCTTGCAGTGGTGAACAGAGCTCGTTTCTGGTGCAACGAGTAGCCGGTTTAGGCATGGTTGATTCTGGTGCTCAATGGTCTAAAGCGGTGAAGGATTAAAACCCAGTCAAGGGCGTGGAACATCCTGGGCGAACGGCGTGTGTTACACATCTGGTGAGAGGTTGTACACAGTAAATGTGTGTCTCATTTGTTTTCAATCAGTGTGTGTACGGTGCAAAGGGGTAGAATCCGCCCATAAAGTAATGTGATTTTGGATAGAATTCATTGGCACGTTGACGAAAGCACACGCTGACAAATGAGAAACAATAAATTATATTTCAGTTCCCCACATCGTACAGATTTTAAAAATAAGTGCCCTAATAAGTGAACTAAAACGTTATTAATTTTCGTGCGCACGCAGCCATCGCTGAGGGAGCAGCCGTGATGCGAGGGTCGCGCGAGGCTGTGGAACGGAAGACATCTCTCCTGCAGCAACAGAGGCGCTCAGATCCTCCACTGCTCGAGACTGGGAGAAATTGCCATCACTTCTGCCAGTCACAGAGCTTCCAAATACACCAATAGCCATGGCAGCAAGCCGTGCCTCTTCACGAAACGACAGACGCTGACCAGAATAGCTGCAAAGCCATGGATCTGCCAATACTTCGTCAATCGTCGGCCGTCGATTTGCGTCCGCGGACAGCATCCGGCCGATGAGATTCTTCGCCCGGTGGGAGACTGAGATCCAACAAGACATTTCCCACTCCCTGGACGAATGTCGACCGTTGATCACCGTGGGCCAGCGGCAGGAGAGGATCGCGAAAAGCGTCGCGCCAAGACTCCACACGTCGGCCGGAAACGAATAATTCTTTCCCGCCAAAACCTCGGGTGCGGCATACGGAAGACTCCCCACGAAACCCTGAGTGCGTTGCCACGGCTTGACGACCAAGGAACTCCCGAAATCCGCGAGCTTAGCAACGATCTCTGTTTCCCGCGCATCTGCTTGGGGCACAACAAACCGGTCCAGGCCAGGTCGCCTCGGCGAAGGGGGAACGTTCGGAGAAAGCGGGCCGGTCGGAGAGGCAAGGCTGTTTGGCTCAGAAAAGTCGTCTTGGTTCAGGTCAATCGTCGCATATGTTTGGGATGACCGACAGGATGTATTGGACGAGAACGAGTGAGGGTTGGGACGTGGTTTCGGAGTTTCTTGTAGCGAGGATGCAGCGGGATCGTCCGACGCGCGCGAGAAGAGAAGCACGTTGTCTGGTTTGATATCGCGGTGCATGACGCTGCGATCGTGGCACTCCTTCACTCCTTGCGCCAAATCTCTGAACAGCCGTCGCGCTTCCCACTCGGGCAAAGCGCCGTTCGCGTGCACAAGCCCCTGCAGATCCCCGTTTGTAGCGAAATCCAAGATTATGTACAGGGTGTTTGACTTAGGGTTACGGAAGACGGCGTGAAAGGAGACGACGTGCTGGCATCCGTCCATGATCGTTAGAGCGCGGATCTCGTTGGCTGCGGCTCGCAGCGCGTCCGGCTGTCCCGCAACGCGCTTGCACGCGAATTCTTTCCCCGTTGCGCGATGAGTGCATCGCGTAATCCTCCCAAACCTCCCGGTTCCGAGCTCTTCGTGCATCTTATACTCGAAAAGGAACTCCTCAACCGGGCGAAAGGTTGTCATGGTGAGAGACTTGGACAATTGGTATGGATCGACGAGTGGAATTGGCGGTCTTGGATGAATAAGCTCGCTGGTGGTCGATCAGGATGGCACGAAAACGAAGAGCGGGAAAAGAATGGTCGAGTGTGACGGAGAGGAAGTAAAAGAGTCATGGATCGACTGGCTTGGCGTGCTCGTGTGGCTTCGGGCGTCCAAAATCACAAATGGAATCTCTCACGAAGCTATCATGCGTGTGAGAGGGATGTTCACAGGCACACAAAATCCTGTAGGGAAAAGAAAATGCAAGACCAGAGAAGTGGAGAATGGGGGGAGGCGGGCTGGTGGAGTCGATTTAAAAGTTCGATCACCAAGAAGCGTTGACCAGCTCGTTGACTCAGTCAACGCGGCTCACTCATTTTGAAACGCGTATCGGTGTGGTACCAGCAAGTCTTTTGGCGCCCTGTGTCCGCCTTGTGTACGTTGCAGATCCCTCCGACCACCTGATTGCGCCAAAAAGACGTGGCATCACACGAATGGCGCTCCCGATGTGGTATTCGCGCAGTCGACATCAGCAGCAGAGATGCCCAACCGACGGGCGCGTCATTCCCTGCCACATCATGCCGTCAGCATCACTGCCTAGGTGACCCCGTTTCGGGTTTTATTGAGGGGGTGTCCAGCTCGTACATTACTGTTCGTAAGCCCGCTCAGTTACCACATTTTTATTGTAAACACTGTATTGAACGTGTCCTGCGGACACAATTAGCTTTCATTCACAAGACGGCACGCCCCCTGCACGTACCTCGAGTCGTCTGACTCACGTTACTGGAATCAGCGGGGACGCGAACAAGGGTACAGCACCGCGTCCTGGCCACTACAGTCGTGTCACCTGTATCGCTTGCATAACTTCGCCAGTTACTCGCTAAACTCGCCAACACCCCCCCCCGCCTGCCCAAAAATTCGTTAGATATGATTGACGAGGGAAACTGTTACCTCGTTTCGAACGCGATCAGAGCACTGCTGATTCGTGTGGCGGAGAACGTGTCCGCGCTCCTGAAATTACAGGTAGGTGGGACTCAAATCACAATGCATTCGTTTTTAGGTACAGTGATTATTTTAACCTCGAGACGTGTGTTGGCGCAAGGAAACCCGAAATGAACGAAATGGACACGCCCTGAGGTCATAACCTGATGAAGAGAAACTAAACTAAAATAATCTAAAAACAAAACATGGCAACAAAGCGAGCAACCTAGAATGTAAAAATAATGCATTTTGTAATTATGTATAACATTTTGTAAAACCTTAAAACACGTGCTCATGCCGGAGTGGTTATCGGGCAAGACTAGAAATCTTGTGGGCTCTGCCCGCGCAGGTTCGAATCCTGCTGAGCACGCAAACTGAAGGTTTTGGTACCTTCTTCAAGGTGACTTGCATTGTCTCTTTCTTTTCCCCTTCCCTTCTTCTCCATCTCTTTTCTTCCTATCACTGTCACCTTTTTCCACCACTTCTATCTTCCCTGTTTCCTTACTCACGTTCTCTTCCTTTAAAGACCCTTATCTCCTAATTCGTGACTATGTATTGTTCTTAATCCATAATGCAAAACCACCTCAAGGTGGCTCAGGGTGCCTCGTTTTCCCTCTTTGGGCCCACCCAGGCCAATGGTCCATTCTTACACTCTATTCCACAACGAAGCACAGCCATCATTCTCATGTATAGATACAATTCCTACCACAACTGTTCTCGGCCACCACTAATTTCTCATGCTGCCATTCTACAAGTCCTACATGCTTGAGCATGGACTCTGGTTACTGAATTACTGTTATACGTCTGCTCAATGCTCATGGCCCTCTCTGGCTTGGTCTGGCCTTCGTAGCAGAATAGTTGATCGGTTGAACACACGCTGCTGGAAGCAGCTACACACACTGAAGTGGCTCTTGAGTCGACGCAAACCTCTGATCAGAGCTTGGCTCACGGGTCCTGTGGATATGGTGGTATGGTGATGCGGTGGCATTGTGGTAGTGACATGGTGATATGGAGACATGGTGGCATGGCAGCATGGTGACATGTACCCTTTGCCCTTGTCAATCCTTGGTTGCCGGTCGTTTGAACATGCACTGCAGGAAACACGAGCCGGACGAAACAGCACTCCGGAGCCGCTTCAAACAAGTTTTGAGACATCGCCTCAAAGCTCAGTCCTTAGTAGCTGGTCGCTTGAACATGCACTGCAGGAAGCACGAGCCAGAAGACACAGCACTCCGGAGCCGCTTCGACTCATCCATCTCAATCCGCCGCAGCCCCGTGCCGTCCTCCTCCCAGAGCTTCTCATTTGGTTCTTCCAGATCCTTCCCTGACACATCCTCCTCCTCCTCCTGCCCCTCCTCCTCCTTGGTTCCTCTTCCGCTTCCCCCGCGTTTCTGCTCTACCCAGCTGCCTCCACTGCTGGCCCTCCCACTTCTCCTGCTCTTCCCCTCCCTGTCGATTGTGTCTGCTCGTGTGCCCCCCTGCCCAGACGAATGGTTGGATCGCTGCGTGTTGGTGTGGTTGAGCAAAGGAGAGCCGTCGGATTGCAGGCTTGAGGTTCTGCTGAGGGAGAAGTGGGGGAAAGTGGTAATGTGGGTACGGGAGGAAATGCAACGTGTGTGTGTGTGTTTGTGTGTGTGTATGTGTGTGTGTGTGTGTGTGTGTGTGTGTGTGTGTGTGTGTGTGTGTGTGTGTAGGGTGCATGCCTCAGTGTGTGTTAGAGACGACGTGCAAGCGTGGGTGTATATGAGAGCGAGCGTGAGTGAGAGAGAAGCGCGGGAGAGTTGGAGCGAGGAAAACAGTAGCGAATAACAACACAAGCAAGGTGACTTTTGAGTCGACTCAAAAGTAGCGAATAACAACACAAGCAGCCACACAGCAAAATCCACCCATTCTCACCCATCTCAACGCACACACAAAAAAACCCAAACCCACACGCACCTAACCGGACCAGTGTGCCGTGCCGACTGCATCCCTCCATGCATCGACCCTTCATCCTCCAACAGTCTCCCACCACCACTCCTCATGGACCCTGTCGCCCCTCTCAGCGGCACAACCGCCCGCCTCCCAGTCCCATGCACCACCGTGTAATCCTGAGAAGAAGCCACAGAGGGAGGTCCTCCTCCTCCCCTGAACGGGTTCTGAGCATCCACCATGGCTTTCTGTGCTCGCAGCCCATCCCCCGCTCCGCTCGCTCCTCCTCCTCCTCCTCCTCCTGCCGCGCCCTTCGGTCGGGGCACGGCGGGAGGCAACCCGGCGGTTTTCCTGCTGCTGCCGCCGACGGGAATGCGGGAGGAGGAGGAGGACGGGCGTGCGGCAAGCGGCCCGCTGCTGTTCTGGCTGGGTCTCCGGGAAAACTCGCCCTGGTCCCAGTCTCCTTGACTGCTCTCGTAGTCCTCCGAGGCAACGGGCATGGCGATCGGTGCGCCGAGCTCGCTGTTCGCATCGCTGAAAGAGTCCTGGTTGCGCCGGCTGCTGCCCCTGCTCCGGTTCTTCCTCCTCCCTTTCCCACCACCTCTCCGTCCTCCTCCCCCTTCTCCTCCTCCTCCTCCCTCGTCCTCCTCCTCTTCCTCCTCTTCGTCCTCATCTAGTTCTTGGCTGCTGAAATTACTGTCATCATCATCATCATCATCTACAGCAACAGCCGTGCCGTGGATAAGAGGCATGGCAATGGGAGGAGCAAATTCGCTCGTGAATTCCCCAGTCGCAATCCCCTCGTCCCCACTCTCAGTGTAATCATGCTCCTCACTATCCTCCTCCTCATCACCACCACCACCACCCCTCCTCCGGTGCCGCCTCCCATGCTCCTCCCCGCTACCGCTATCATCCTCACTATGTACAGGCAAAGCTGCTCGAATAATCCTCCTCTTTTCCTCAGCATCCAGCGGCATGGCGATCGGGACGCCAAACTCTGAATCAGCTTCACTCATGAAGTCCCCGCCTGCTGTACTGCTGTCGCCGTCCCTGCTGCTCTCGCCGCCACCACCACCCCCAGCCCAGCGATTACCCCTGCTGTTCTTGTGACCCGCTCCCCCTCTTCCTGCTGCTGCCACCGGCATTGCCAAGGGTGGCTCATACCCACTCCTTGCCAGATCATCATCGTCATCACTCTCCTCCTCATCCTCCTCCTCCTCTTCGTCCCCTTCCATGCTTCCGTCAAGAGAATCCCCTCCCCATCCGTCTCTAAACCCAGCAGGATGCTCACTCGCGTTTCTGCTCCCGCTCCTGCTCCCATTCCTGCTCCCGCTCTCCCTTCCACTCCCCCGTCCGCTCTCCCTTCCGCTCCCCCTCCCACTCCCCCTTCCGCTCCCCTTCCCACCCTCCACCAGAGAAGCAACAGGTGCTAGCTCTGCATCACTTGAGCCCTCCTCCCCACTCTCCACACTCCCCCCATGATTTGCCGCCCTACTGCCTCTGCCTCTTATGTGTCCCCTCTCCTCCTCTTCATCTTCTTCCTCCTCCTCTTCTTCCTCTTCCTCCTCCTCCTCTTCCCACTGCGCCTCTCTGACTGGCTGTACAGCCACTTTAGAACTAGGATGAAGCACCATTCCTTTCATCATACCTCCACGCCCTCCTCCCCTCACTGAATCGTGCAGCGAATCCATATCAGAGCCACTAGCATCCTCCTCCTCGTCCTCCTCCTCTTCCTCCTCTTCTTCCTCCTCGTCCTCCTCTTCTCCTTCCACTAATTCCATTGTTGCCATAGGCGCTGCAGTCACCACCTCACCATCGGACGATGTTGCAGCACTCACTACATCCTCACTCTCCTCCTCACTCTCCTCGCCTCTCCCCATCGCTCCATGACCGTTCACCCCCCCCCACCCACCACCACCAGCACCAGCAGCATTGCCCAGCTGACGTGGCGGCCCCTGATTGGACACCTGTCTGGAGATGGGCTGAGATGCCACCATGGACGCTTGGCGCGACGGCGGTTTGCCGCCAGGAAACACAGATACTGCCGTAACACCACCACCAGCACCACCCACAGCAGCAGCAGCAGCAGCAGCAGCAGCAGCAGCAGCAGCAGCAGCAGCAGCGGCAGCAGCAGCAAGGTCTAGAGATTCCTCGCTGCTATCGCTGTTGTGGGTGCGGAGGGGAGCTAGATAAGGAGGACCCGGTCTGTTGCCGTTGCTGTTGCCATTGCTGTTGCTGAAGATGCCGTTACTGGCCGGTAAGGCGAGGGCGATCGAGGACGAGTCTAGAGACATGGGTGTGTCTGGGAAGGCAGCTGGAGCAGCATAGGAGGGAGAGGGGAAATCCGGCGGGTTAGCCAAGGGAACACTTCCTGAACCACTACTGGCCTGACTGTGGCTTTCGTTGTGCCTGTGCCTGTTCTGCTGGTTGTGAGGGTGACTGTACCCTTCCCCACTCTGATGGTATTCCCCGCTCTGTGTGTAATCCTGACTCTGCTCATATTTATGGCTTTCTGTGTAGTCCTGACTCTCTTCGTATTTCTGGCTCTGTGTGTAATCCTGGCTTTGCTCATACTCCTGACTCTGCCCATAAGCCTGGCTGTCCTGTTGTCTGTCCTCCTCACTCTCTTCGCCCCCCTCCACCCCCTCCCGCCCGTACCGCATCTCCTGCTCATACTGCTCACGACTGTTCTCCTCCTCTTCTTCCTCCTCCTCTTCCTCCTCCTCCTCCTCCTCCTCCTCCTCCTCCTCCTCCTCCTCCTCCTCCTCCTCCTCCTCCTCCTCCTCCTCCTCCTCCTCCTCCTCCTCCTCCTCCTCCTCATCCCCACTAACGTCCTCTCTGTCTTGTTGACCCTCTTCGTCTTGGCTACTCCCATTGCGCTCATCCCTATGCTCATTATACCGTTCACTGCTCTGCTCATCATATTGCTCCCCGCTCTGCTCATCCCTCTCCTCATCATAATGCTCCTCGTAATGCCCATCCCTATGCTCTTCGCTCTGCTCCCCGCTCTGCTCTTCGCTGTCATCACTGCCTGCCATAGCAGCATTGGTGGGGACCATTGACGGGCGCTTGCCGTGATACATTGGGTGCTGCTGCTGCTGCTGCTGCTGCTGCTGAGCCTGGTACTGCTGTTGCTGTGCCTGGTACTGCTCATCTCTTTCCTCACCGCTCTGCTCTTCGCTGTCATCACTGCCTGCCATAGCAGCATTGGTGGGGACCATTGACGGCCGCTTGCCATGATACATTGGGTGCTGCTGCTGCTGCTGCTGCTGCTGCTGTGCCTGGTACTGCTGCTGTGCCTGGTACTGCTGCTGCTGCTGCTGCTCCTGCTGCTGATACTGCTGGTATTGGGAATGATGTTTGTGAAACGGGTCCTCCTCGTTCTCCTCACTCCCCTCAGTACTACGCCCCTCTTCATCCTCCTCCTGCTCTTCCTCCTCCTCCTCCTCCTCTTCTTCCTCGTCCTCCTCTCGGCCATGCACAGACGGAAGGCCGTCAAGGTCCATACTGGGCATCGCCATAGCTAAGGGTACAAACCCGCTGTCACCATTGCCATCACCATCCTCTAAACTCATTTCCTCTTCCTCCTCTTCCTCCTCCTCTTCCTCCTGCTCCTCCTCCTCTTCCTCTCCTGCCCTTCCTCCTTGCCCAATTCCTGCTCCCCATGGCATGCCCCTTCCGCCTTCACTATCCATATCCTCATCTGCCCTCTCCTCTTCCTCATTATCCTCTTCCTCCTCTTCCCCACTCTCTCCCTCCTCCCACACATCCCTCCCATGCCCCCGTCCATCCTCCTGCTCTCTCCTTTCCGCCTCATCCCACTCGTCCCCCTCTCTCCCCACACTCTCTACACCTTCCTCTTCTTCCTCTTCTTCCTCCTCTTCCTCCTCCTCCTCCTCCTCCTCTTCCTCCACATACTCTCCCTCTCCCTCCCTCTCCCTCTCCCTAGCAACACCACTAGAATTCCTCGAATTCTCCTCTCTCTCCCCCTCCTCCTCCTCCTCACTGCCATATGCATGCTCATTTAGGTATTCTCCTCCCCCATACTCCTCCTCCTCTCTCTGCTCCTGACTCATGTAACGCGCTCCTTGGCCCATATATCCTGCTCCATGCTGCTGTGATGCTGCTGCCGCTGCCGCTGCCGCTGCTCCTGCCATTGCCACTCCACCCCCCCCCTCCTGTCCGCTCCCCCAATCCTCCTCCCCTGCATCAGACTCATTCCTCACTCCTCTTCCTACTCTATCCTCCCCCCACTCCCCACGTCCCTGCAATACCTCTCCCCCCTCCCCAACGCTCCCATCACCTACTCCATTGAACCCCCGAAAGCCTTCCTCCTCCCCCTCGTCATCCTCCCCCTCATCCCCCCTCCAGGCGGACCAGCTCTGCTGGGGGGAAGCGCGCATGGGGGGGGACAACCCCCCCATCATGGGGGAAACCTGCGCCATTACCAGGCTCCCTTCCCCTCCCCCTTCCCCTTCCCCTTCCCCTGCTCGGCTTTCCCCATCCGAATCCCACTCCCCTCCCTCCGCCCCCTTCCAAGGTTCCTCCTCTAACCCACCTACCCCCATGCCCCATTCCCTTCCCCCCTCCCCCTCTCCTCCACTGTCCCAATCTCCTAAACCCTGCACTGCCCTGCACTGTGCATCCTTACTCTCGTCCACCCACTTTGCAACCCTAGCCATTGCAGCACTCATGGCTCTCTTGTCCCTTACTCTACCAGCTTCCACCAACCTCTTCAGCCTTGCCTGCCCCCCCTGCTCCTCCTCTCCTTCCCCTCCCACGAAGCCTGCACCCTCCTCATCTTCTCCCCCATCCTCGAACGCCCCCTCCTCCTTTCCTCCTTCCCCGAGCTTTTTGCTCTTCTTTTTCTTCTCATGCTCCTTCTTTTTCTTCTTCTTACTCTTCTTCTTTTTCTCCTCCTTGCCCTCCCCTCCGTCTCCCTCCTCCCCTGCTCCGTCCTTCTCCTTCTTCTTCCCTTTACCTTTGCTCTTTCCGCGCTTCTTCTCCTCTTTCCCCTTGTTCTCTTCACCCTCTTCCTCTCCTCCCTCCTTGCTCTTCTTCTTTTTCTTCTTCTTTTTCTTCTTTTTTACCTCATCCCCACCTGCTGCATCTCCATCTGCTCCCTCCTTCTCCCCTTTACTGCTCTTCTTCGATTTCTTAGACTTCTTGACTTTCTTGTCTGTCTCCACACCCTCAGCCCCTTCCTCCTCTCCTTCCTTGCTTTTCTTCTTCTTCTTTTTCTGTTTCTTCTTCTTCTCCTTCCCGTCTTCTCCCTCTCCAGCCTCTTGCTCATGCTCCTTCTTCTTCTTGCTCTTTGTCTTCTTCTTCTTCTTCTTCTTCTTCTTCTTCTTCTTCTCCCCTTCCCCTCCCCCTTCTCCGTCCCCTTTCTTCTTTGCGCTTCGGGAGCTTTTCCCCTCCTTCTCCTCCCCTCGAGACTTGTGTTTACTCGATCCAATCTTCTTCCCACTCTTCCCCTCCTCTCCTTTCTTCTTCCCCACGGCAAGTGCTTCAATAACCAGGACCTCAGACCCCACTCCTTCTTCCATTCCTTTACCCATCCCCTCACCTCTTCCTTCAACCAATTTCCTGCCTACCCTTCCATCCATCCGCCCATCCATCCGCCCATCCATCCTTTCGTCCACCCTTTCATCCATCCTCATCCTTCCCTCCACATTCATCCACTCCCTCCCTACTCCCTCCCTCCCTTCCACCCCCCCCTCTCTCTGCCCCACACCACCACCCAAACCTTCTCCACCACTCCACCTCTTCCCACCAGCCACAGCACCCAGCCCAATCCCACTCACCCTCCCCACACCCTGCCCAACCAGTCCCCCCGTCTCCTCATTCCCTGCATCAGAAGTAAACGCATCTTCTCCTTCTCCTGTCCCTCTCAGCAACACCACCTGCTGCCCTAACACCAGAACCCCCGGCTGCCCTTTCTCTCTATGCTCCTCCTCCTCTTGCCGCCACTCCATAGCAGAAGCATCACTCTCATGCCCGCTCAAAGCCGACAGAGTCGACTGCCTCCGCCTCTCCCTCCGCTCCCGCCGCTCCTTCCGCTCCCGCTTCTGCTCCCGCTCTCTCCTCCTCCTCTCCGCCTCGTCTTCAGTAGACTCCTCAACAGCAGCAGCAACAGCAGCAGCAGAAGTACCAGCAGAGAAATTGACTGCATTGGCACCAGCAGCACCGGCAGCACCGGCAGCACCACCGGCAGCAGCAGCAGCAGCAGTGACTGGAAATGCGTCCATCACCCCGCTCTCACTCTCAGTCTCTTCTGATGTAGACTGAGGTTTCCACGGGACCTGACTGTCTAGGAACTTCTCCTGAGGCACCTGTTGCTGCTGCTGCTGCAAGGACGCACCATCACCACCACTCCCGTAGGCCCCATCCGCGTTATAAGCATCTCCTGCCGCCGCCGCCGCTTCTGCTGCTGCTGCTGCTGCTGTTGCTTCGATATGCCCCGAAGCCGTAGCTCGAACCATCATCAAGCCCTCGCGAGTGACCATGTGCCCTTCTGGACCTCCTCCCTCCTCTTCTTCCTCCTCCTCCTCCTCTTCCTCTTCTTCCTCTTCTTCCTCCTCATCATCTGACCATAGCTTGCCTTCCTTCCCCTGCTTTACCTCCCTCATCCCATCTCCTTCCTCTCCCACCCATCCCTCTTCTTCTTCCTCTCTCTCCCCCTCTCCCTCTCCCATTCCCTCCTCCACAACCCTTTCCAATTGCCCGTCAAACATCCCACTCTCCTCAGCCCCATCACTATCACTTCCCACCTCCATGCCTCCGTATTGCCCTCTCATCCCCCTCCCTTCTCCACCTCCCTCTCCGTCCCACCCTCCATCCCCATCCAACACCTCTCCATACTCCTCCATGCCGTACCTCTGTTCCTCTCTCCCCTCACTCCCTTCACTCCCCTCACTCCCTTCACTCCCCTCACTCCCTTCACTCCCCTCAATTCCCCTACCTTCCTCGTTCGCCTCATCCCCCTCGCTCTGCTCCTGCTCCTCACTCCCCTCTTCTATAGCTTCACCGTCATTCCATAGCAATTGCCGGGATCCCTCCTGCTCCCTTAACCCTCCCTCCCCTTCCTCCTCTGACTCCTCTTCCTCCTCCTCTGCTTCCTCCCACAATCTGCCCTCTTCTACTGCCTCGTCATCTTTCTCGTCGTCGTCGTCCTCCTCCTCCTCCTCCTCCTCCTCCACTTCCTCCCACAATCTACCCTCCTCCAATGCCTCATCTTTTTCGTCTTCCTCCTCCTCATTAACTTCCTCCCACAGTCTTCCCTGCTCCTCATCCCTTCCCTCTACCTCCTCCTCCACCACCCTCGCCCCTGCCCCACCCATGCCATCCCCAGCAACAGCACCGCCTCGATTGCCAAGCTGTGACCCCACAGCTTGCACCGAAACACCCTGAAACGGCCTCCATGCTTCCTTCCAAGCTCCATCTTGCCTTCCTCCTCCCCCTCCCTCTCCCTCCACCACCGCTCCTTCCCTCCCAAGCTCCGCCCCGTTTCTCCTTCGCGCGCCAAAATCCCTGTTGCTGAAGCTCCGAAGCGCCGTGCCTTGCGCATTCCCACCCTGGTAATCCCTGTTGCTATAGCTCCGCATTGCTTTACCATACTCTACACCCCCACCATAATCTCTATTGCTATAACTCCTCATTGCCTTACCCTGCTCTACCCCCACCCCATAATCCCTGTTGCTATAACTTCGCATTGCCTTACCATACGCCATCACACCATTCCCCATTCTTCCCATGCCCCCAGCGCCCCCCAAGGCTTGTGGCATGGACTGGCGATTATCAGCAGACCATGAGGTCACGCGGGCATAGGGGGAGAAAGACTCGAGGCGGGCGGCTAGAGCAGGCGGGAGCGAGGGCGGTAAGGGAGGCACGTTGCTGACATGGGAGGAGTGGGAGGGATGGGAGGGTGGAGGGAGAGAGCTGCCATAACGTGCCTCCTCCTCTTCTTCCTCCTGTTCCTGCTCCTCCTGCTCCTCCTCCTCATCCTCCTCCTCTTCCTCCTCCGACTCTTCCCCCAGGATAGCACCACTATACATATCACCGCCGCCACCCTGTTCACTGCTTCCTTCCCCCTCCCACTCGCCTACCTGTTCTGCCCCATCAGCACTCTCACTCCCCATGCTCTCCCCCCTCTGCATTTCCTCCTCACTCCTCTCCTCCTCATCCCTCACTTCCTCCTCACTTCTCTCCTCCTCACGCCTCTCCTCCTCACTCCCCTCCTCATCACTCCTTTCCTCCTCCCCACTCCTCTCCTCCTCCTCTCTGCTCTCCTCCTCATTCCTCCCCACGAAGCTCCCTTCACTCCTCTCATCCCACCCCATATCAACACCATCAGCACCCATCTCTCGATCCTCACCGCTATGCTCGCCGCTACGCTCGCCGCTATGCTCGCCGCTATGATAATCCTCCCGCTGCTCAAATGAACCCATGCCGTTTCCACCATCACTCATCAGATCCGACTCTCCATCCTCCTCCTGGTTTAAATTCAGAGCCCTCCCATCGTTCCCTTCAAGAAACCTCCCGTCCCCTCCTCCTCCTCCTCCTCCTCCTCCTCCTCGTTGTCCGCCCCAGTCCTCGCCTCCCCATCGCCTGTCCCCCTCCTCTTCCTCTTCTTCCTCTTCCTCCTCTTTTTGCTCCTCTTCCCCCTCCTCGCTCTCCTGTCCCTCCCACCCACCCTGCTGCTCCCACGGTCTTGGAAACCCCTCTCCCATCCTTGCTCCATCTGCATGCCTTCTTCCTTCCTCCTCATCTTCCTCTTCCTCCTCCTCCTCTTCCTCTTCCCCATTCTGCGATTGCTCCTCCTGCCCATCCTCCCACTCTGCACCTGAGCCTCTCTCTCCGCCCCACTCATCACGCCTCTCAGCGAACTCACCCTGTGAATCTCGCTCCTCTCTCTCCTCCCCTTCCGGCTCTCCCACTTCTGACCTCCCTTCTTCTGATGCCCCCTCTTCTGACCTCCCCTCTTCTAATCCTTCCCTCTCCTCTGACTCCCCTTCTTCTGACCTCTCGTCTTCTGATCTCCCCTCTTCGTCGGACCTTCTCTCTTCGGATTCTTCCCTCCATCCTTCATGTGATCGTTGCACCCCACTTAACTCCTCTGTTCTCTCCTCACCGTACATATCCCCTTCCTCCCCACCAGAAGCATCACTTTCACCCTCACCATCCACATCATCTTTCTCCCTGTTAGACATATCATTTTCAACCTCTCCATACATATCACTTCTCTCCCCACCATACATATCCCCTTCCCTGCCACCAGAATTATCACTCTCACCATCACCATACATATCACTTTTCTCCCCACCATACATATCCCCTTCCTCTCCACCAGAATTATCACTCTCACCCTCACCATACATATCGCTTCTCTCCCCACCATACATATCCCCTTCCTCTCCACCAGAATTATCACTCTCACCCTCACCATACATATCGCTTCTCTCCCCACCATACATATCCCCTTCCCCGCAACCAGAATTATCACTCTCACCATCACCATACATATCACTTTTCTCCCCACCATGCATGTCCCTTTCCTCCCCATTGAATGCATCACTTCCACCACCCTCACCATACATATCCCCTTCCTCCCCACCAGACGCATCACCTTCTCCAGCACCATACATATCGCCTGCCCTCTCTTCACTCATACCACTGGAACCACGCTCCAAACCCTCACTCCCCACACCCAATTTACTCCCCCCACCCCCTTCACTCCCCTCACCCCCTTCATTCCCCTCACCCTCCTCACTCTCGGCTCCCTCGCTCCTTCCACTTCCCACACTTCCTTCCGATGCTGCCATACTAGCATACCCGTTGGGCATCTTCCCTTGGAGCAAACCTCCTGGGAATTCACCTGGCAGGGTCCCAGTCCCACCTGACTGCACCATACCACCTGACGCAGGTGTTTTCCCAGCCACCTGAAACAGTACCGCCCCCTCTGTTCCCTCTCCAGCAGACTTCCACAACAGAGGCTCGGCAGGCACAGGTTCGGCAAAAGCAGGCTTGGCAGTGACAGGCTCGGTAACAGCAGGTTCGGCAGGGGCAGGTGGGTTCGCCTCAGGAGCCATGCCGTGTTCTAGTGGCAAGGGACCGTTACCAGCTGTTAAAAAGCTGCCTGTATCCTTACTACAAGGTAGCTCTTGCACTGCTGAAAGGCCACCTTTCGTGACATCAGGTGCCGTAACACCAGCAGGTGCTGTAACATCAGGTGTTTTCTCAGGTGTTACCTCAGGTAATACTTGAGGAGGCGCTGCAGCCTGCATTGCAGTGACGTCAACAGAGGGTTTCCGCACATGTGGGGTGAGCAGGCTTGCCACTGCACCTCCCATCCACGACACCCACCCACTCTCCTTCTTCTGCACACTCTCCTGCTGCAGCTGCTGCTGCTGCTGCTGCTGCATCTGTTGCTGCGTATTCTTCCCCTCTGCTGCTACTTCTAGCACCGAAGGCTCTGCCTTCGCCACCAATGCTGCTGCTCCTCCCACGTTTGCGGCTGCTGCTGCTTCTGGTGGTGATGGTGCGGCTGCTTCTTTGGGTTCTGCTTCCGTTGCTACTGCTGCTGCTGGTGCTGCTGGTGCTGCTGCTGCGACTGATTGCTGCCCTCCTGCTGCTGCTTCCTGTGCCCCCAATGCTGGTGCTGCTGCAGCTATTGCCAATCCCGCAGACCCCTCAGACTCGCTCTCTGAATGCAAGGACTGCTGCTGAGACTGGAACAATGTGTTCCCAGGGGCAAGGGTGGTGGCGGCATCCCTGCTATCCATGTCAGTACTACTACCAGCCACGTTTGCCATGGCATGACTCTGCATGGCATGACTCTGCATGGCCTTCTCTCCTCCTGAAACGCAATTCTCACCTGAAAGTCCAAAATCGCCTGACAATTCACCTGACGCCTCACCTGACACCTCACGTGGCAGATCACCTGACATTCTACCAACAATCTCAGCCTCTGCCACGTCATCATAATCCTTGTCAGACCCTGCTACTCCATTTCCTTCTCCCACATCCGAGGCTCGGTCCGAGCCATCCTCCGAACCTCCATGCGGTTCCGAGCCTCGGGCGCCCTGCAAAGCTGTGCCATTCTCCAAGCCTCGGCCCTCATCCTCTTTCTCCCACTCATCTTCCTCAATCTCTTTCTCACTCTCCTCGTCACTCCCCGCGCCATCTCCCCTCTCAAGTGCATTGCTCCCCTCCTCTTCCCATGCCTCCCCCCCTTCACTCCCTACAACGCTTGGCTTAGTCCCTCCAAGTGCGTCCTTACCAATGGAATCCAGTACACCGAACTTCATATCCACACCACCACCTGAATGCACACCCATGTCATTTGAATCAACACGCATGTCATCTGCATCCATATCCATGCCATCCGCACTCATACCCATGCCACCGAGTTCCATTCCATTCTGCATGCCCCACCTACCCTCCAGTCCCCTCTCTCCACCCCTATGTCCCTCACCGCTCTCCACCCATCCTCCCACACTCTCACCCTCTCCCATCTCACTCCCTCCTCCTATCTCTTCCTCTCCACTCTCCTCCTCTTTATCTCCCTCCTCCTCCTCCTCCTCCTCCTCGTCCTCGTCTTCCTCTACCATCGTAGCTGCTACCACACCACCCTCACTCCCACTCGACCCACCCTCTTCCCCATCCACAACACCGCTCTCTTCTGCCCAGTACCTCTCCTTAGTCATCTCTCCCTCACTCTCTTCCTCACTCCTCTCTCCTTCACTCCTCTCTCCCTCACTCCGCTCTTCCTCACTCCTCTCTTTCTCACTCTCTCCCACACTCCTCTCTCTTTCAGTCTCTCCCTCACACTCCTCACTCCTCTCTCCCTCATTTTCTTGCTCACTCCTTTCTCTCTCAATCTCTAACTCTCTCTCCTCCTCACTCCTCTCTCCCTCAATCTCTTCCTCACTCCTCTCTCCCTCAGTCTCTCCCTCACTCTCCTCTCCCTCACCCTCTCCCTCACTACCCTCTCCCTCACTCCCCTCTCCCTCACTCCTCTCTCCCTCTCCCTCATTTTCCTCCTCACTCCTCTCTCCCTCACTCGCACTCCCCTCCTCTCCTTCGCCCCTCTCCATGTGCTCTCCACTGTACTCCCCAGTCCCTTCGTAGTCACCCATTTCATCCCCTAACTGACTCGTTTCATCTCCAGAAAGCTCCACTGCCTCGCCTGACTGCTCCATTGTGATTGGCATGTTGCCAGCCTCACCCAGTTCATCTCCAAACTCCCTCGTTTCATCCTCAAACTCCCTCGTTCCGTCCTCAGACTCCCTCGTTTCATCCTTAGGCTCTCGCGTTTCATCCTCAATCTCCCTCGTTTCATCCCCAAACTCCCCCGAATCATCTTCAAACTCCCTTGTTTCATCCCCAGACTCCCTCGTTTCATCTTCAAACTCCCTTGTTTCATCCCCAGACTCCCTCGTTTCATCTTCAAACTCCCTTGTTTCATCCCCAGACTCCCTCGTTTCATCTTCAGACTCCCTCGTTTCATCTTCAGACTCCCTCGTTTCATCCCCAGACTCCCTCGTTTCATCCGCAAACTCCCTCGTTTCATACGCGAACTCCCTCGTTTCATCCGCGAACTCCCTCGTTTCATCCCCAGACTCCCTCGTTTCATCCGCAAACTCCCTCGTTTCATCCGCGAACTCCCTCGTTTCATCCGCAAACTCCCTCGTTTCATCCTCAAACTCCCTCGATTCATCCTCGGACTCCCTCATTTCATCCTCAGACTCCCTCGTCTCATCCTTTAGTTCCATCGTTTCATCCCCAAGCTCTCTCGTTTCATCCCCAAGCTCCCTCGTTTCGTCCCCAAACTCGCCCGTTCCATCCTCAATCTCTCTCGTTCCATCTTCAAACTCCCTCGTTTCATCTTCTGAAGCATCCATGTCATCTCCCGAATCAAGACCATCATCCCCAAGCCCTCGCTCTGCTTCTTCTCCTCCTGATTGCCACCCAACATCCCCTAAAGGTGTAACCTCTCCTGATGCTGCCATTTCACCTGAATACACTAAATAGGGACCAGGCCTCCCATCCTGCATCTGAGCCACCTGGGCCATCAAACCACCTGAAATTTCACCTGAGACTTCAGGCACTTCCCCTGAATGACCCATCCCATCATAGCCATCACTCTCAGAGTCTACTGAACCCCCCATGTCCATGCCCATGCCCATGTCACCTCCTGATTGGTCGATGCCATGCTGTGCACACCCCGTTTCATCTCCCAAAAGCCCTGCTGTAGTGCCATCCCCATACATATCCTCTTCCCCATCCACACTCTCTCCTCTTGATCCCATATCTTCCGATCCCCCCTCTTCCAACCCCCCCTCTTCCAACCCCCCCTCTTCCAACCCTCCATCTTCTGACCCCTCCTCCTCTGACTCCCCCTCCCCTGATTCTTCCTCAGCTTCCGCATGCTCCCAGGGACCTGCATCAAACCCCATGTGTGAACCACCCACCACTCCACCCATCATCTCTCCACTCCTCTCTATCTCTCCACTCCGCTCCCACTCTCCACTCCTATCCATCTCTCCACTCCGCTCCCACTCTCCACTCCTCTCCACCTCTCCTTCCTCATCATCACTCTCGAGTGCGGACCTTCCCCCTGCTACATCCTCTTCCTCTTCCTCATCCCCATGCATGACCCTCTCCTCATCCTCATCTTCTTCCCTTGATAAACCCCCATCACTGCGCCCATCCTCCCCATCACTGCGCCCATCCTCCCCATCACTGCGCCCATCCTCCCCATCACTGCGCCCATCCTCCCCTTCACTGCGCCCATCCTCCCCTTCACTGCGCCCATCCTCCCCTTCACTGCGCCCATCCTCCCCTTCACTGCGCCCATCCTCCCCTTCACTGCGCCCATCCTCCCCTTCACTGCGCCCATCCTCCCCTTCACTGCGCCCATCCTCCCCTTCACTGCACCCATCCTCCCCTTCACTGCGCCCATCCTCCCCTTCACTGCGCCCATCCTCCCCTTCACTGCGCCCATCCTCCCCTTCACTGCGCCCATCCTCCCCTTCACTGCGCCCATCCTCCCCTTCACTGCGCCCATCCTCCCCTTCACTGCGCCCATCCTCCCCTTCACTGCGCCCATCCTCCCCTTCACTGCGCCCATCCTCCCCTTCACTGCGCCCATCCTCCCCTTCACTGCGCCCATCCTCCCCTTCACTGCGCCCATCCTCCCCTTCACTGCGCCCATCCTCCCCTTCACTGCGCCCATCCTCCCCTTCACTGCGCCCATCCTCCCCTTCACTGCGCCCATCCTCCCCTTCACTGCGCCCATCCTCCCCTTCACTGCGCCCATCCTCCCCTTCACTGCGCCCATCCTCCCCTTCACTGCGCCCATCCTCCCCTTCACTGCGCCCATCCTCCCCATCACTGCGCCCATCCTCCCCATTCCCTCCATCCCCATACATCTCCTGCTCCCCATCCTTCCGCCCATCAATCAGCTCACCGCTCTCCCCATCCCCATACATATCCCCTTCACCATCGCTATCAAAACTTCTAACCATCCCCTCCATTCCTTCCATCCCACGTGCCCCACGCATCTCTTCACTCTCTCTCATGCTCCCCTCCTCACTGTCACTCTCGTGCACTGATGACCCATCCTCCTGCATCCCATCCCCATACATGTCTCCTTCCGGGTCCCCCTCTGCTTCTCTGTACATGACCGCCCCTCCATGGCCGTCCTCCCCTTTCTCACTCCCACTCTCACTCTCACTCTCACTCTCTCTCTCATTCTCTTTCTCACTCTCACTCCCACTCGCCCCATCCCCTCCCTCCTCCCCTACCATCACCTCTGCACGCATGTCTTCTTCATCTCTCCTTCCCGATCCACCCTCCTCAAATTCCTCCACACGTCCCCCCTCACTCCCCTCCTCACTCTCCTCATTCTCCCCATACCTCTCATCCTCACTCTCCCTACCACCTTCCTGCCTTCCCCCTTCCTCTCCCTCAACCTCACTCTCCTCCTCACTGTCCTCCTGCTCCACGCTCAAAGCTCTCTCCTCCTCATCCGCCTCATCCATTCCCTCCTCACTCTCCACCTCACTCTCCTCCTCTCCTTCCTCTCTAGATTCCTCTATGTTGCTCCCATCCTCCCTTGCAGCTGCAACCGCTGATCCAACTGCTGCTCTCACAAACGGACCAGCAGCCAGCACCACCGGTACTTCCTCCTCTTCCTCCTCCTCCTCCTCTTCCTCCTCTTCCTCCTCCTCACTCCTCTCATCTTCCTCCTCACTCCTTTCCTCTTCCTCGTCCTCACTCCTCTCCTCTTCGCTTCTCTCGTACTCTTCATCCTCACTCCCCCCATCCCTCTCATACTCTGAACCCTCCATGTGCTGGCTTCCTCTCTCACTCCCCTCCTCCTCCCATCTCCCCTCCTCCTCACTGTCACTATGCTGCATTCCCTTCTCCTCCCCGTCACTATGCCCGATCATCGCCTCATCACCCTGATCCCTCCTCCCGTCCCAATCCTCTTCCATCTCACTCCTCTCCTCTTCGCTCCTCCCCTCACTCCCACCCTCGTTCCTCTCCTCGCTCCCCACAACGCTCCTCTCCTCACTTCCCTCCTCACTTCCCTCCTCATTTCTCTCCTCACTCCCCTCTTCACTCCTCTCCTCATTCCCCTCCTCACTCCCCTCCTCACCCCTATCCTCACTTCCCTCCTCACTCCTTTCTCCTTGATCTCTCTCCATCCCATCACTCCTACCACTCAAAGCACAATCAAACCTTCCACTTTCATTCCTCCACTCTCCTGTACCCCCATCAACATCTTCCCCCTCCCACTCTCTCGACTCCTCCCTCACTTGCTCAAACTCCTCTTCGCTACCCTCACTCTCCTCTCCTCCCTCACTCCCCTCACTCCCTTCGTTCCTCTCTTTCCCATCCCACCTCCTCCCACTCTCCAGCTCTTTTAATCTCCCATCGTCCCCTGATTCCTGATTTTCCTCCTCATCTGTCTCCTCCTCTTGCTCTCGCTGCTCCTCCTCCTCCTCCCCTTCCACTGCCCACACTCCATCCGCTTCCCCTCCTCCTTCTGATCTCTCTTCTTCTGATATCTCCTCTTCTGATCTCTCCTCTTCTGATCTCTCCTCTTCTGATCTCTCCTCTTCTGATCTCTCCTCTTCTGATCTCTCCTCTTCTGATCTCTCCTCTGATCTCTCTTCTTCCAATCTTTCATCCTCTTCATCTCTCTCCCCAGCCTCCAATCCACCTCCTCCCTCCACCCTCTCCTCCACCCCCATCCCCTCTGATCCTTCAGTTTCACTCATACTATCCAAATCCCCATTCCCAACCCCGTCCTCTGACCCCTCAGCAATAGAGCCCCTCTCAGAACCTTCTTTCTCCGAAGCTTCATCCCCTGACTCCTGCTCCCACACTCGCGAATCCTCCTCCCCTTGCTCCCACACACGCGAATCCTCCCCTTCCCACACACGCGAATCTTCCTCCCCTTGCTCCCACACACGCGAATCTTCCTCCCCTTGCTCCCACACACGCGAATCCTCCCTCTCTGCACCCTCCACTCTCGAACCATACTCCTCCTCCGAACGCCCACTCTCTGATCCACTCCTCTCCCCAAACTCACTGCCTCCTCTTCTCTTTTCCTCTTCTCCTTCCCCTTCCGCCTCCTCTTCCCCTCCCGAAGAATCACTCCCACTTCTGCTATTGTCCTCATCCTCCTCGTCATCCCTTCCCTCCCTCCCCTCCAACTCTGCAGTGTCTCCCTTCCACTCCTCGCTCCCCTCCTCACTCCTCTCCTCATTCCTCTCCTCCTCACTTCTTGCATCCTCACTGCCCTCTCTCACACTCCCTTCCACACTCTCCCGATCGCTCTCCGCCTCACTCCCACCCTCACTCCCTCTCTCACTCCCACTCTCACTTCCTCTCTCAAACCCATCTCTGTCATCAACCTCATCACGTCCCCCTCTACTCTCACTCCCCCCCTCGCTTCTCTGCTCATCCTCCAATGCATACACATCACCATCCTCTCTTTCCTCCCCACTCCCCTCCTCACTCCCCTCCTCACTCCCCTCCTCACTCTCCTTCTCACTTCCCTTCTCACTTCCCTCCTCACTTCCCTCCTCACTTTCTCCTCCACTCCTCTGCTCACTCCCCGTCTCACTTCCCCCTTCACTTCTCCCTTCCGCTTCCATCTCGTCCATATCACCAGGCTCACTCTCCTCCTCTCCCCATTGCTGCCCCCGTTCTCGAACTGCATCGATTCCCTCCCACTCCCTCTCACTCCCGCTCGCACTCCCTCTCTCACTCCCCCACTCACAAATCCTTTTCCTACCTTCCGCACCATCCACCTCCCTCAGGCTACCCTCCTCTCTCCCCTCGTCTCCCGACTCTCCATCACTTTCCTCCACCACTGCTGCTGCCATCACCACATCAACATCACCATCACCATCACCATCACTCCCCCCCCCTGCTGCTGCTGCCATCACCACATCAACATCACCATCACCATCACCATCACTCCCCCCCCCTGCTGCTGCTGCCATCACCACATCATCATCACTCTCCTCCTCACTTCCCTTCTCGCTCCCCTCCTCCCTCCCCTCCTCGCTCCCTTTCTCACTCCCCTCCTCACTCCCCTTCTCTCTCCACCGCTCGTTCCAATGCTGCTGTTGCCTCTCATAAGCTCCCTCCTCATCCACATTCCCCCTCTCCATCCCCTCACTCCCTTCCACCCTTTCACTTCCAGCTCGCTCCCTCACACCCTCCCTCTCCCCATCACCATCCACCCCATCCTCCCGACTGCTGCCTTCCATCCCTTCTCCATCCTCCCTCTGCTGCCTCTGCTCCCTCACCTCCAGCCTGCTACCTCCTGAATTCCCCTGTGCTACGGTTTCCCTCTCATTCCTCAATCCCTGCGCCTCCCACTCTTGCCCTGCCATGTCCACACCAACAACCATCACCACATCCCTATCCCTATCCACTTCCTTGCTCTCGCTTCCCTCCACGTTGCCTTCCTCCCTTTCTTCCTCCCTGTTCCCGTCTGTTTTGCCCTCCTCCCCTGCTTCGCCCTTGTCCCCTGCCTTGCCCATCTCTGCTTCGTCGATTTTCTCTACTTCACCCTTCTCCTCAACCCCCGCAGCAACCACTTGCTGTTCATGACTCGACTCAGACTCCAAAACAGACTTGCTCTCACCTCCCACAACAACCTCCTCTTGCTCCTCCTCTCTCTGCCTCGGTGTTTCCTCATCTCTCCACTCCTCGTAACCATACTCCATCTCTCCACTTCCCACGCTCCCATCTTTATCCCTCTCAAACCCCCCATCTCCTCCTTTCGCCACTGCTTCCACTGCCCCTCCTGCCACGGCTGCTGACTCTTCCTCTTCGCCTCTTCCCTCTCCTGTCTCTCTGTTCCCTTCTTCTCCTTCTCCTATTGCTGCTTCTCCTGCTGCTGCTGATGTTGCCACTGCTGCTGCTTCTGCTACTTCTGCATCTGCATCTAGACCCACGCCCCTTCCCCCAGGCCCCATTCTCCCCCTCCCCCTTCCGCCTATCTCCCTCCCACGCCCTCTCCCCACTCCCATACCCCGCCCTCTCCCCCCAAGCCTACCCATAACCCCCTCCCTCCCCCCTGCACCTCTCCCCCCGGGTACCTCCCTCCCCGGCCCTCTCCCCATGCCCCTCCCAAGCCCCCCTTCCCGCCCACGTCCCCCTAACCCCCCTCGTCCCCTCCCCCGCCCTCTTCCCCCTTCAACAGCCCCCTCTCCCCCTTCCGCTGCCCCTTCTCCTTGTTCCTGATCCTGCTCCGCGCTTCCCTCACCCCCTTCCTCGCCCCCTCCTTCCCCCACCTCCCCCGCCTGCCCCCCCCTCCCCCGTCCCCGCCCAGGGCCCTGACCCCACCCTCCGCCTCCCCCTTCCCACACTCCCCTCCCCCTGCCCCTCCCCGCAACCGCCCTTCCCCCCATCCTTCCCCCTCTACCATCCCCACTCGTTCCCCTTACAATCCCCCCTCGTCCCCTTCCGCCCATGTCCACGCCCAGTTGCCCGTCCCCCCTTCCCCTTGCTATGCCCCTCCCCCTCCCCCTCCCCCGTCCCCGCCCCCCTGGCGTTTCCACAGCCCCTTCCCCCTCCCCCTCTCCTCTGCTTGACCCGGGACTCTCCCCCTCTTCCCCACCATTCCCCTCTGTGCCCTGTGAACCATCTCTCTCCGCTGCTGCTTCCCCCTCCCCCCTCCCCTCTGCTTCTTCTGCCGGTGTTGCTGCTGCTGCCACTGCTCCTTCTGCTGCTTCTACTGCTGCTCCTGCTGCTACTGCAGCAGCAGCACCTGATCCCTCCCCACTCCCTCTCGCCCCACTCAACCTTCCCTCAACACTCATAGAGTCCCTTAGCTGCTCCCTCATGCCCCCATCATCTGCCCGTTCCCCCAACCGCCCCTCACCCCCATACTCTCTCCCCACCTGCCCTTGTAAGCTCCCCACTGCCGATTCCCCACAGTAAGCCCCCTCGCCTGCAGGAGTCTCCGCAGCAAGGGGGACAGAGGCAGGTGTGACGGAAGTTTCTGGTTCTTGATGCGGGTGAGAAAGGAGCTGTTGTGATGGTGCGGCAGTGGCAGGAGGGAGAGAGGAGGAGGCGAGCTGAGAGGCTACGGGAACAGAGTCCTCATCATCAGACGAGGAATCGGAGGATGGCTTTTGAGGCGCTTCAGAAGCCAACTGAGAGGCCAGGGGAGCAGAATCGTCGTCAGATGAGGCACTTTTTCTGTCAGGAGATGAAGGCTTTTGAGGAGACTCAAAAGGCAAGTGAGAGGCCACGGGAACAGATTCATCGTCTGATGAGGAATCAGAGGCGGCAGAGGAAGCAGACAGAGGGGAGCGAGAGGGGGAGCGAGAGGGAGAGTGAGCAGGTGAGCGAGAGGGAGAGCGAGAATGAGAGCGAGAATGAGAGAGGGAGTGAGAGTGAGAGGAAGAGTGAGAGGAAGAGCGAGAGATGGCCGTATGACCCTCCTGCTGCGACTGGTCGTATTGCCCCTGATCCAACTGCCACTCCCCCTCGTTGCTCTTGTCCCATCCCTCCTCCTCATCTTCCTCCTCCACCTCCTCCTCGTCCTCCTCTTGCTCTTCTCCGTCCCCCCTCTCCATCCCATCACCATACTCCCGACTGTCTCCCACCACTGCTGCTGATGCCACCACTGCCTCATCATCTGACTCTTCCGACCCTTCATCATGCTCTGACCCTGTACCGTGCCCCCGACTGTCTCCCACCACTGCTGATGCCACCACCGCATCATCATCTGACTCTTCCTCCGATCGTTCTCCCTCTGATCCCATATCCTCTTCCGATCCTTCATCATGCTCCGACCCCATACCCTCTTGCCGCACACCCCCCTCCACCTCCATCCCATCACCATACTCCCGACTGTCTCCCACTCCCACCACTGCTGCTGCTGCCACCACTGCATCATCATCCGACTCTTGTTCCGACACCATGTCTCCATCGGATACCATGTCTCCCTCTGATCCACCCCTTTCAGATTCCATTCCATCACCATACTCCCGACTGTCGCCCATCACTGCTGCTGATGCCACCACTGCATCATCATCCGACTCTCCCTCCGACCCCAAGTCTCCCTCTGATACCATATCCTGTTCCGATATCATTCCATCACCATACTCCTGACTGTCTCCTATCATTGCTGCTGCTGCCACCACAGCATCATCATCCGACTCTTGTTCCGACCCCGTGTCTCCCTCTGATCCCATGTCCTGATCCTGTTCCGATGCCATCCCACCACCATACTCCCGACTGTCGCCCATCACTGCTGCTGATGCCACCACTGCATCATCATCCGACTCTCCCTCCGACCCCGTGCCTCCCTCTGATACCATATCCTGTTCCGATTCCATCCCATCACCATACTCCCGACTGTCGCCCACCACTGCCGCTGCTGCCACAACAATATCAGCATCATCATCCGACTCTTCCTCCGACCCCAGTTCTCCCTCCGATCCCATATCCTCTTCCGATCCTTCATCATGTTCCGATCCTAAATCCTCTTCCGAGCTTCCACCCAGTTGAGAACCCATGTCTCCCTCCGACCCTTCAACCTCCGATCCCATATCTTCTTCCGATTCCATGCCGTCTTGCGATCCCATTTCATGCTGCGACCCCGTATCTTCTTCCGATCTCATATCCTGTTCCGATTCTGTACCGTGCTCTGATCCCATGCGTGCTTCTGGAACCAGGTCGCGCGGCAAATCATCCTCCGATCCCACCTCCTCATCTGATTCCCTATCATGCTCCGACCCCATATCCTGTTCCGATCCCGTCACTTCTTCCGAACCCCTATCTTGTCCTAAACCTGTCTCCTCTTCCGATTCCAAACCTAAATCTTGCTCCGACCGCAAATCCTGTTCCGAACCCAAATCTTGCTCCGAACCCAAATCTTGCTCGGACTCCAAATCGCGATTCAGACCTAAATCCTGCTCTGATCCCGTGCCTTGCAATTCTGCATCCAATTCTGATGCTGATGCAGACACAGGGCCTGATGTAAACGGCTGCTCATCCCCATGCGAGTCATAGCTACCACTACGTGAATCATGGTCATCCCCATACAGCTCAGCATCACCATGCACGTTCTGCTCATCACCATGTGACACGTCATCCTCCCCGCGTGACTCATCATGTGATTCGTCACCCTCTCTGTGTGACACATCATCCTCCCCATGTGACAACTCATCCTCCCCATGTGACACGTCATCCATTCCTTGTGACTCATCATGTGACACGTCATCCTCCTCCTGCGACTCCTCATCCTCCCCATGTGACACATCATCCTCCCCACGGGACCAGTCGCCTTGACCATCCATGTCCCCTGGCCGAGCAATAGGAACATCATCACTACCATCACTCCCATCATCATCACTCCCACCATCATCATCCTCATCACTATAAACACCATCATCCCCAGGCGGATCATCCCTATAATCACCACCCTCACTCCCACCCCCTCCATCCTCACTCCCTCTGCTGCCACCGCTGCCGCTGCCGCTCCTGCTACTGCCACTGCGACTGCCAATCTCACTACCACTCTCACCACCTCTCTCACTGGCACTGTCAGCAGCGCTACCCCCAACACTGTGACTCCGACTCTCACTCGCATACTCTGCATCATCATCCCCCTCCAGTTCCTCCGCCTCACTCCCACGCCCATCCCCGTCCGAGTCCCCATCCCCATGCCCATGCTCCTCGGCCCCTCTCCCTGCAGCAGCATACTCCTCCGAGTCGTACCCATCCCCACTCTCCTGCACATCACCATCAAAACTGCCACTTCTGTCCACCTCCTCCTCCTCCTCCTCCTCCTCCTCACCCCCTTGCCTATCAGGATCGTATTCCTCCTCACTCACACTCTCCCCACTCAAATCTCTCTCACTCCTTTCCTCATCCCTCATTTCCTCCTCACTCAAATATCTCTCCCTCCTTTCCTCATCCCTCATTTCCTCCTCACTCAAATCTCTCTCACTCCCTTCCTCATCCCTCAAATCCTCCTCACTCAAATCTCTCTCACTCCCTTCCTCATCCCTCAAATCCTCCTCACTCAAATCTCTCTCACTCCCTTCCTCATCCCTCATTTCCTCATCCCTCATTTCCTCTTCACTCGATCCCTCTTCGCTCAATTCCTCTCGACTCACCTCCTCCTCATCCAAATCTCCCTCACTCCCCTCCCCACCATCTGACACATCCTCCTCCCCTGATCGCTCCCCTTCATATTCATACCCATACTCCCCTTCTCCCTCGTCTTCATCTCCCACCATTGCTCCCACGGGCACATCACTCCCACTATCACTCCCTCTCTCACTTCCCCTCTCACTCCCACTCCCACTCCCACTCCTACTCCCGCTCCCTCTCTCCTCCACGCTCCCACTCCCGCTTTCTCTCCCTCTCTCACTCCCACTCTCCCCCTCACTCCCCCTCTCACTCCCTCTCTCACTCCCACTTTCCTCCTCACTCCCTCTCTCACTCCCACTTTCCTCCTCACTCCCACCACCACTCCCACTCTCCTCTCCACTCCCACTCGCCCAATCGCCCGGTTCCCCTTTACTCCCAAGTCTGTTCCCCAAGTATTGATCTAGAACCGCCATGAGCACATCGAAAAAGACCACTACTCCTTCTGCCTCTGCCTCTATTCCGTTCTCCTGCACTGCTGCGTCTAGCTGCTCCGCCCCGGGCACTCCTGGGGGCGAGGGGAAGGTGGGGAGGAAGATGGGGAGAGGGAAGGGGAAGGATGAGGGCGAGAAGAGGGAGATCAGCAGGAATGCTACTACTGCTTCTGCCTCTGCCTCTATTCCGTTCTCCTGCACTGCTGCGTCTAGCTGCTCCGCCCCAGGCATTCCTGCGGAATGGGGGAAGCGGGGGCGAGTGGGGAGTGGAGGGGGAGGAGGTGCGGGGTGGGCGGATGGAAAGGGAAGGATGAGGACGGGAAGAGGGAGAACGGAAAGGACACCACTACTCCTTCTGCCTCTGCCTCCATTCCGTTCTCCTGCACTGCTGCGTCTAGCTGGGGCGCTCCAGGCACGCCTGGGGACCAAGGGGGAAGCGGGGAAGGGGGATGAGGGGAAGGGGTTGGGGGTGGGAAGAGGGACCGGAAAGGATGAGCGTGGGAGGAGGGAGAAGGGAGAGAACGACTTTTGAGGCGCCTCAAAAGGATGAGCGTGGGAGGAGGGAGAAGGGAGAGAACGCTGCTACCGCTTCTGCCTCTATTCCGTTCTCCTGCTCTGCTGCGTCTAGCTGCTGCGCCCTGGGAACCCCTGGGGAGGAAGGGGAAGCGAACATCACAGACTCACTCCCACGGCAAAGGGAGCCTCTCACAGGCTCCTATAGCTACCCGCCCAAGGCTCCCATTCCGTAACACCCCACCACATGCTCCCTCTCCAAGGCAAGCAATCCCCCGCAGGCAGGCAGGCAGGCATAGCACAGCCTTCTATAGCTCCCACGTTCAATCCATAACCGCCCCTCACAGCCTTCCCTAGCATGCCCTCACAAGCTCTCTACAGACAATCAGTGCACCCCTCCCTCCGCTCACCTCGTGATGCCAGGTCAGCAAGGAGGTCCTCCACGTCATACGCAGTGTTCTCGTCCGTTATAAGCACATCTACACTCGGGTCCTGTACAAATTGCTGCAAGATTGGCACGCCGAGTATGCGACATGGGGGTGAAAGGAAGGGAGGAGGGGAGGGAGTAGGGGAGGCCGAATAGAGATGAGAAGGGGAGGGGGAGGGCGGGGAAGGGGGGGATTTCTCATACGATTTTTTAGGCGTCTAATAAAAAAAATCCCGTTCGCATTGCTGCAAGAGGGACAGCCAAAGCTGCGGCGCGAACTGGTAATGGTTAAGCGCCTATGATGTGATGTGGATCACACGGTGATGACATGAGGGGGTGGTGAGCGGGGACAGGCACAACAGAAGGGTTGCATAGGAGCAACGTGGATGGGGGGAAGAGCGGGCGGGCATGCAATGAAAGGAGAGCAGCGGAGTGATAACCAGTTGATGAGAGGGAAATGGGGCTGAGGCGAATGGGATTGGCTTTAAGAATTTTACATACAAATTGTTCGAACAGACAAGAGAATATGAAGAATGAGAAAAGCACGGGGGGAGGGGGGAAGGGGGAGGGGGGAAGAGTACCTGCGCGTTGGGCGCGGAGGCCGCGAGCGCTTCTTCTATGAGCGGAAAAAGCCGCGGCATGTGCTGCTGCAGCTGCCGCCGCAACCACCGCTGATGGCGCTCCGACTGGCCGGCACCAGAGGTAGCAGCGGCGATTGCGGCGGTTGCGACGGTCACAGGGGATGATCACAACGAAGGCAATGAAACGATGATGGTGATGATGATGGTGATGACAATGAAGTTGATCGTGAGGATGGTGATGAGGAGGAGGACAAGGACGAACGAGGGGAGAAAGACCAGAAACGCGAGAGCAGGGTATGGTAAGGGGCAGCAGCGGAGAGAGAAGAAGAGAGAAATGTTTAGTTTTGAAAGAGGTGGGAGAAGCGTGGGGGTCGAGTTGGGAGACGAGAAAGATGGCGAGAAGCTTAGGGTTGGTGAGAAGCGATGGAGGACGAAGCGAGAGAGATACGGGAATCAATATTGTGTGCTTGTGCGCGTGCGTGCGAGGATGCGGATGCGTGGGGGAAAGTGCATATCATGACAAAAGAAGAAAACAAACAAACAATAAAGTGTGCGCCTGTGCGCGTGCGTGTGCGTGCGCATGTCTGTGGGTAAGTGTAAGAGGAGAGAAGGGATGTAAGGGAAGAGTATCCGCACATTGTTGTCGTTCGCCATTTCGCTCGCTGATTAGACTCAAAGCCTTCCGTCTGCGGACGATTCAGATATATATAGGCCTAAATCACGCTCTGATAGAGTATCTGCTGGGCTCGCATTCCATTCCCCCCATTGACGAGAAGCCAACGAGTTGAGAAAAAAAACTATGCTCTTGCAACAAAGATAAGGGAGGTTACGCCTTCGTAGCCCTCTTACGGAGAAACTTAATCTCCTAAAGCGGTAGTATAGCCAAGATGGGAAAGAGAAACGAGCGAAAGAGCTGAATAGATTGGCGCAACTGGGCAATATAGCCTCATGAACCGTGGTCAGAGTCACGAACTAATACCGACTAACGTTGTCGTCGGAACAATGACGGAAAGAAACGGTTGCGCGAGTGTCACTTCGGCCAAATGGGAAGCAGTATCTTAGTAAGTCGTTTGCTTACAAACCAATGCGCTTCGTTCGAGTTAAGCAGTCAGTCAGTCATAGTCAGTCAAGCCTTTTGCTGTTAGCAACCCTAATGTGAGACGTTCCCAAAATAGTTTCTACTGCCTCACTTTTTTTCTGCCGCGTCAAACAAAAATCACTCCTGCTCCCCGCACTCGTACTTCAAAAAAGCATCCATCATCCTTCTGCGCACGTCATAGCCGTAAACGAGCAGAAGTACGGTTGTGTGAGATGTAATATCTGCAGACAGAGTTTCTAGACATTTCCAAATGGTTGAGTACGTTCTGAGTGAGAGAAGCCATGTGGCACAATGTTACAGTAATGTGGTTCGGCAGCAACATCCGCGTGATTGTTGCGCCAAAACGATCGCATCGCTCCGCTCGATAAGGTGTGTGCGCGGGGAAGGAGGTGGAGCGGGGTGGGTGTTGGTGTGGGAATCTGGAAGAGGGGAAGATCTTCCCACTTGCTCCAAGTCCCCCTTTTTTTGGAGCAAAGATGTTGGAGGGGACTGTAAGCTTCTGGTCGTCAGACTTATGTGCCTGCTAGCGAAGGTTTACGAGGGAATTGCTGTAATTGAGGGGGTCTTCTTAAAAGTCGTCTGGATAATTCAGGTATTCTGAAAAAGGCTTTGTTCACAGCGTACAACGGTTGAGGAGGGCTTCCAATGAGCAAAACACCACTTTTGGCACAGACCGCGGTAAGGGGCTGGCGCAGCATTTTCAGGGAAGGGGGGAGAGCAAACGTACAACGCGAAAAAACCCACCCTGGTGGAGGTGGTTCTGTGCGGAGAACTTCTGTGTCGCTCGCACGAGCGCCACGGACGGAACCTCCTCTCGTCTGCTTTGGTCGTGAGGGGGGGAGTAGTTTGCGCAAAAGCGGTGGCACGAGCGAATGAAATTGCAGCTGCGGTTGAGAGGCGGAACGGAAAGATGGTTCACAAACAATTGGCGGAGTCGCGTGTCACAGTTGAGGTGCAAGCTTAGTTTTGACGCGGAGACGTGCTTCCGCCAGTAGCTAAAAGCAGTGGTGAAAGCTGAAGGGGGAGCGCCGGCTACACTGGGACGTGGAACAGGTGGTTCAAGCCAAACCGACGTGACTTTGGTGGATGCACACGTAACACATGGGACTACGTAACCGGATCTGACGAGGTACGGCGATCATATCTCATGTTTGCGGCGACGAATGCTCCTGAAACGTTACAACACAAAATCTCGAAGAAAAGTTGTTCAAATGCATAGAATAGTGACACGGCCTTGTGAAGACTGACAAAAAGTATTATATTCCAAAGGTGTATTTAGCGCTTCCACAAATACTGTATGAGAACATGTCAGCACGTAAATTCGCTGTTACATGAAACAACCTCAAAGCTGCCGTACACCCTTCGGGTGAGTTCGCGACACTTCCAGTTCTATATCGCGACTCTTCGTGTTCGCGTATTTCGATTGGACTACTGCCCCTGGCCCTTCGCTTCTCGCATATTCCAGCATCTTCGCACGTTACCAGCGTTATTCTCACCTTTCGTCTCCATCTCTTCGTCCAGCTGAGCATGAGTGCCATTTCTCGCCCCTTCTAGCTCATTCCAGACCCGCCCTACACACGTCAGATACGTGTCTAGAAGAACTGCATGCTCGCCTGGTGAGCAAGGAGTCGTCTCGACGCAAGAGCGTGCGATTCGACTGCTCGAAGCAAGTTCGCTCCGAGCCGCGTGATGAGGTCGCAGCATAAAGCTCGTGCGATGGTAGCCGATTATTCACTCATCGACGATCCGATTTACCAATTTTCTGACATCTCTCAGTACCACAGTCTACGCTCAGCTCTTCTTGTTCGAATTATCGTTCCTAGCGTTCAACTTTTCACTGATTCTGGAAGCGTTATTTCTTTTACTGCCCATTTTCTCTCATTCGTTTATATTTTTACGATACTAGGCCGCCATGAATCCCGAGTCCTTTACGCACAAGACCAACGAGGTGCTCTTTTCCGCGAAGCAGCTCGCGGAATCCAACGGACATCCGGAAATCACGCCCGCGCACCTCGCGCTGACCCTCCTCGAGGACTCAGACAGCATCTTCCGCCATGCCGTTTCTTCCGCCGGCGTCAACAACTACTCCGCCGGCGGCGGCGGCGGAGGCGGCGACGACACCGCGCAATCCCTGCAGCGCGCCTTCAAGCGGCTTCTCCAAAAGATTCCCTCGCAGGAGCCCGCGCCCGACGAAATCCACGCGAATCACGCGCTCGTGAAAGCGCTCCGCAAGGCGCAGAGCCTTCAGAAGAAAGCGGGGGACTCGCACCTAGCCGTGGACTCATTAGTGTTGGCTCTAATCGAGGATGCGCAGATCGCGGGCGCGATGAAGGAGGCGGGAGTGAACGTGACTAAAGTGCAGGCGGAGCTCGCTAAAACGAGAGGCGAGAGTAAGGTCCAGAGCGCGTCGGACGACTCGAATTTCCAGGCTCTGAAGAAGTACGGGCGCGATCTCGTTGAAGTAGCGGCGAAGCTCGACCCGGTGATTGGCCGCGACGACGAGATCCGCCGCGTCGTGCGGATCCTCTCGCGCCGCACAAAGAACAACCCCGTGCTGATCGGCGAACCCGGCGTGGGGAAAACGGCGGTCGTGGAGGGCCTCGCGCAGCGCATCGCGCGCGGCGACGTCCCGAGCAACCTGCAGAACGTGCGGCTCGTCGCGCTGGACATGGGCGCGCTCGTCGCGGGCGCGAAATACCGCGGAGAGTTCGAGGAGCGCGTAAAGGCGGTGCTAAAGGAGGTGGAGGATGGTGAGGGGCGGATTATTCTCTTCATCGACGAGATGCATTTGATCCTCGGCGCGGGGCGCACGGAGGGCGCCATGGATGCCGCGAATCTCTTCAAGCCCATGCTCGCGCGCGGGCAGCTGCGCTGCATCGGCGCGACGACGCTCGAGGAGTACCGCAAGTACATCGAGAAGGACGCGGCGTTCGAGCGGCGCTTCCAGCAGGTGCTTGTAAAGGAGCCGTCTGTAGCGGATACGGTGAGCATTCTCCGCGGGCTGCGGGAGAAGTACGAGGGGCACCACGGCGTGCAGATCCAAGACCGCGCGCTCGTCGTCGCGGCGCAGCTGAGCAGCAGGTACATCACGGGGAGGTTCCTTCCGGACAAAGCCATCGATCTTGTCGACGAAGCGTGCGCGAACGTGCGCGTCGCGCTCGACAGCCAGCCGGAGGAGATCGACGCGCTAGAGCGGAAGCGCATCCAGCTAGAGGTGGAGCTACACGCGCTCGAGAAGGAGAAGGATAAGGCGAGCAAGATGCGCGCCGCGGAGGTGCGCGAGCAGCTCGGCGCGCTGCGCGAGGAGCTCCAGCCGCTGCAGATGCGGTACCGGCGGGAGAAGGAGCGCGTCGACGAGTTGCGCCGGCTCCAGCACAAGCGCGAGGAGGTGCTCGTCGCGGTGCACGAGGCGGAAGCGCGCATGGACCTCGCGCGCGTCGCGGATCTGAAATACGGCGCGCTCACGGAGCTGGACGCCGCCATCGGGAAAAACCAGAGGGAGGCGGAAGCCGCCGCCGCCGCCGCCGCCGCGATGGACACCAGCGGCGGAGTCGCGGCGCCCGCCGTCAAGCCCATGCTGACGGAAACCGTCGGGCCGGATCAGATCGCGGAGGTCGTCAGCCGCTGGACGGGCATCCCCGTTACAAGGCTCGGGCAGAACGAGCGCGAGCGGCTGCTGGTGCTCCCCGCGCGCCTGCACGAGCGCGTCGTAGGGCAGGCGGAGGCGGTACAGGCGGTGGCGGAAGCGGTTCTCCGCTCGCGCGCGGGTCTAAGCCGTCCTGGCCAACCCACGGGATCGTTCCTCTTCTTAGGCCCGACGGGTGTGGGGAAAACGGAGCTCGCAAAAGCGCTAGCAGAGCAGCTATTTGACGACGAGAAGCAACTAGTGAGGATCGATATGAGCGAGTACATGGAGCAGCATAGCGTGGCACGGCTGATCGGTGCTCCCCCGGGGTATGTGGGGCATGAGGAGGGCGGGCAGCTGACAGAGGCGGTGCGCAGGCGGCCGTACAGCGTGGTGCTGTTTGACGAGGTGGAGAAGGCTCATGCTTCGGTATGGAATACTCTGCTACAAGTACTGGACGACGGCAGGTTGACCGACGGGCGCGGGCGCACTGTCGACTTCAGCAACACGGTTATCATCATGACGTCGAACTTAGGAGCGCAGCATCTTATAGCGGGGATGGCGGGGGACGTGTCGATGGGAGAGGCGAAGCAGCTGGTGATGGGCGAAGTGAAGAGGCATTTCCGGCCGGAGTTACTCAACCGATTGGATGAGATTGTAGTCTTTGAGCCGCTCTCTCTCCCCGAGCTTCGGAAGGTGGCAAGGCTGCAGATAAAACAGGTCGCTGCCAGGCTGGCAGATCGGGGGATCGCGCTCGCGGTGTCGGATTCTGCGCTGGATGTTGTTCTAGCAGAGGCGTATGATCCGGTGTATGGGGCGCGGCCGCTGAGGCGATGGCTGGAGCGCAAGGTGGTGACTCAGCTGTCTAAGATGCTGGTGGAAGGGAAGATAGACGATAACTGCACGGTGTTTATCGACGGCGCGAAGCAGCAGCAGGGTCATGGGCAGGTGGGAGGAGGCAAGGGAGTGGCGGTGGAGGCTAGTGGGTTGCTGTTCAGGGTGGAGAAAACGGGTGGGGTGGCTGCTGAGAAGGCCAAAGGGCGGCTGGGAGAATTTCTGGTGGAACCGGCGCAGGGGAGTGAGGGGAAGAAGGCGAGGGTGGAGGAAGAGGAGGGGGAGGTGGATGAGATGGAGGACTGAAGGGGAGTGGAGGATGTGAGGGGATGGGAGGTGGTTGAGTTAGATACGTGTGATAAGCTTGACAAATGAGCTGGACTGGATTTGCCAGAGAAAGTGATGGGTGAACCGTGGATGGGTTCGCGAACGGTTTTTTAAGCTCAGGGATTTCTGGTTGCTAGATTGAGTTGAGGCATCCTCTTCCTTTTCTTTTTTGTATATAGCTGATCCTGTACTTGTAACAAATGTGCCCTGTTTACTTCTATAATTCCACCACTGAAATCACATCTTATTCCCATAACAGGGTGTGCATGCTTTCTTCGTCTTGATACTCCATAAAACGGGATGACTTCAATACACTTCAGTACCACCATGGTTTAATGAGGTACCTCAGCTGTAATTTCTGCTGCCCCTTCTGTCCAGGAGGGTCAAGTTTGCAGGTAATATAACAAGGGTCAACACATGTAACTATTGGTAGCAAGGTGAGCGGCCAACCCATCAGGAAGGGTTCAATAAGTCAAGCTCAAGGCCACATTATTCCCAACCCAAAGCCTAGTTGCTAGTGACCAACTGTAGATAATTAAGTTTGGCTACCAGTACTGGTAATTCCAGACATCATGGAGCTAAGAGCCTGGAGTACCTCAAAGATTCTTCCACCCACGCATCTACCGCGGATTTCACCGTTGTGCCATTTATCGCGACAAACCCCCACGACGGATTGAACGTGTAGGTGTGCTGCGTGTTACCAGGTAAAAATGCTGTAAGGTCTGTCTTTTTCAGCATCAAGTTACGTACTGCGGTGTAGACGTCCGAAGCGGCATTCAAGACGGCTACACTTTCGGAGGGGCATTTTTGGCTGACCCCCACTCGCAATTTCCGGAAAGAGGGTGATTTTATCGCTGTGCCCGCCCGCGGAGCGGCTCTGAGTATGTCATCTACGCAAGCAGTGGCCTGGCCGATGTTTGGCGGGAGCTGGTTACCAAGAGCGAGGGATCGCACGTCGAAGAGCGATTGGAGGACGAAGATCGGCGATTTGACGAAGTTGAGAGCATACTGGGGGAAGAAGCAGCGCCAGCTCTCCATGCCTGGGAAGGCTGCAGTGCGAATGAAGAGGGAGTGGGGGGAAAGCAAAACACGAGGTTATTTTGGGAGCACTCACTGCATTGAACACTAAAGAACACTTGATTTTGCAGTATGGTATCTGCTGAATGGCAACCATGGGAGATGCTAGGAGGGGAAAGGGAAGCGAAAGATGAGGCGACGGAAAATCATGGGAATTGAGAGGGGAGGAGAAAGCCCAGCCTGAGAGTTCATTCCTGCCTGAGGGCGCGTACCCTCCCTCGATCAATCGCGCAATCGCTGTGAAAAACCGATCGGGCACACCGATTGCAGGATTGGGGTGGGATTGGTGGGAGGTGACAACAGCGGATCGATCTCGATCCCTGGGTGACAGGATCGAGAATACAAGGGGCAAAAAACCCTCGATCCTTCTAAAGCCGAGATCGGTGTGGCCACGAAGGCACATTGATCGTCACAGCGGAGGTGACAAGATCGTTGGGCACAAGTTACTGTAGATTCGCAAGCCTTCTCGAAATCTGGTTACCTTGTCAATCGCGACACTGTAGCTGTCCCTCGATCTGAGAGCAGGATCGATCGAGGGAGGGGACGCGCCCTGAGAGTTCGTTCCTGGGCTGGGGATGATCATCCCCTCCCCATGTCTCCCCCCCATATCCTTTCCCTCCCCATTCTCCACCCAAACCCCCCCCTCTACCATGGTCCCCCACACCCCACTTACCCCGCTGGCAGCGCGGGTTCCCCAGCGACGGTGCAGTCCCACCAGCGGAAAGGGTATCACCCCCACGCGAGTTCCCCCAATTGGCCCTTCCCCCACTCCCCACCCACTCACCCCGCTGACAGCGCGGATTCCCCAGCGACTGGTGCAGCCCCACCTGCGGAAAGGGTACACCCCCCCGCAGCATCCCAAACTATCCCCATGTTTCCCAAGTGCAGCCCCCCTCCCCACGGCCTACTCACCCCGCTGGCAGTGCGGATTCCCCGACTGGTGCAGCCCCACCTGCGGAAAGAGTACACCCCCTTGCAGTATTCCAAACTTTCCCCATGTTTCCAAAGTGCGCCCCCTCCCCACGGCCTACTCACCCCGCTGGCAGCGCGGGTTCCCCAGCGACTGGTGCAGCCCCACCAGGCGCTGCGCCATGGCGCGGAAAGAGTACACCCCCGCGCGGTCGGGGGAGTCTGCAGGGGGACGAGAGGGGAAGGAGGGAGAGAGCGACGCGGACAGTGGGAGTGGGAGGAAGGTAGGCAAGGGTTGGGTGTCAGGAGTAGCGAGGAGAATTGAGGGGCAAGGTGCCTCCTCTGATCTTTCTGCGAACAGAAAGAAAGAGCAAGAGAACTACACAGACGAAACAAGCAGTACTTGAGGGGAAAGCAGAGACAGCAACTTATATCAGGAGCAGGTGCAGAAGCAGGAGCACGAGGAGGAGCAGGAGACACACAGACATCAACTAACACCCCCAGTAGCTCGAGGCACGCAGATATGAAGCTTCAAAGCGTTTCAAATCGTGACGGATCGTTACGGGGGGATGACCGCAAACAGCATCGTGACAGGGCAGCAGTGGAGTGATAGGGCAGGCGCAGGCACGTTGAGTCAGCAGACAAGGGGGGTTCAGGTGAGGTAAGGGCAGGTCAGCAGGTCAGCCTGAGTCAACATGGCCCTTGGTGCAGGCGCGGGCACAAGCACATCAGTCACAGTTGTCAGACGTTGTCAGACGTCTCAAAAGCAGCTGCAGCAGCAGCGGCAGCGACATGGGGAGTTAGAGCAACATTCAGAGCAGGCGCAAGCGCGAACGCGAGCAGGCGCGAGCGCGCGCGCGCACTGACCAATGAAGAAGCCCGAGTTCATGAGGCACTTGGTGCGTCCGAGTGGGCGGTAAGAAGCAACATCAAGCGCAAGGGGAGCCGCGGAAGCGCGAGCGCGCGCACTGACCAATGAAGAAGCCCGAATCCATGAGGCACTTGGTGCGCGCGGCGGGCGCCATCTCCGCCAGCTGGTCGCAGAGCGTCACCACCGCCTGCCCGCCCGCGGAGCTCCCCGACATGATGATGTTCGTCGCGGACGTCAGCCCGCGCCGCGTGCGGAGATCTGCGGAGGTAAGAGGGACGCGCGGGGCGGGGGGAACGCGGAGTCGGGAGGGAAAAAGGGGGACGGAAGGGGGCGTGGGTTGGTGATGGGTGTTGCGCAAACGGCGGAGCGACTGTGACGCAGAGGGGGAAAGGGAATTGAATGTATGGGACTACTGGACTGGACCGTTAACAACACTATTCATGGAGGAGGAGTTGAGCTTGTTAAATAACTAATCATGAGTCCATGCAACACAACTCAACCTCACCATGATTTCAGCGAACAAGGCTGACCCATAAAGATAGCTTTGGTTATTCTCCACCCGCCCAGGTACACGATTAAGCTCGCGTACGAAATCTATGGAGTTCATCTCGCCTGTGAAAACAGTCAGGAAAAGTGACTCACCAGTCCGACAGAACGCTTGATGCTTCTCAGCAGTAACACTCACCCATGAAGATAGCCTTGGATATTCTCCAGTATGGAGTGATTCAATAGTCCGCCAGGGACTATAGAATAGTACCCACTCGCCTATGAAACCGTAAAGTGATTCAATAGTCCGCCAGGGACTCACCCATGAAGATAGCCTTGGATATTCTCCATCCGTCTAGGTACACGATGAGGCTCGAGTTCACCGGCTTCCACCGCACTCGACCGGCGTACCCGCCGCCGTCGCAGTACACGAAACGCACGAGGTTCCAGTTGTGGAACGTGGGGTTCACGCGCGGGTCCGTGCTCAGGATGCCGCGCGACGACGACCTTGCGCCCGCCGCCGTCTGCGCGGAAAAGGGGAAAAAGGGGGAAGCGGGAAATGGAGGGGGAAGGGAAAGGGGGAGTTGATGATTATATGGGAAAGTGGGGTTCACGCGCGGGTCCGTGCTCAGGATGCCGCGCGACGACCCCCTTACGCCTGCTGCGGTTGCGCGAGGAGGAAACGGGGGGAGGAGTGGGAAAGGGGGAATGGACGAGTATGTGGAACGTGGGGTTCACGCGCGGATCGGTGATCAAAATGCCGCGCGACGACCCCCTTACGCCCGCCGCCGTCTGCGCGAGAAAGGCAAAAAGGTGGGGTTGAGGGGGGAGGGGAAGGGGGAATGGATGAATGAATCGGAACGTCGGGTTCACACGCCTCCACCTGTTCCCTCCCCCCGCGCCTTTACCCCCCCCCCCCCCCCCCCCCCCCACACCTGCTCACCCCCCACACACTCACCACCGAATACTGGTACACGGCGTCCGCCACGGCGGAAGCGGCGGAGGCGGCCGCGCCTCCTCCGCCGAGCACTTTGGGCCAGCGGCGCGTGGAGCCGAACTCGGTCCCCGCGCGCTTCGCGCATTCCTGGACGGTGGTACACCACCCGCCCACGGGGAGATCGATCAGCCAGTTGCTCGCGCCGGTGCCCACGCCTTGGCGGAAGTAATACCCCGGGGGACTGCGGGAAAGGGGAAAGGGGGGGAATGGGGGAAGGGGAAGGGGGAAGTGAAGGGGAAAGGGGGAAAGGGGAAGGGGGAAGGGGGAAAGAAGGGATGCTGTAGGGGAGGAGGTTAACAAGTGTTAAACGCTTGTCGATTTGAGACGCAAGCTTAGGAGGACCATTCGAGGCGGGCGCAGTGGCTCGAATAAGAATGGGCGTTTGGGATGATGCGTCAGCATTTGAATGGAAAAAACTTGAGACGTCTTAACACTGGACTGCCTACCAATACTTTTGAGCCGTCTCAGAAGAGTACCGGCTGTGCCTGACATGCCTACAATCGCGTAAACGCCGTTGCTGCCCACTCACCTGCCGTCGAGGCACTTGGCCTTGTACGGATTGTCCGGCAGCAGCGTCAGCGTCGTTAGCGGGGACGCGCCGCCAACGCCCCCCACCGACTCCTCTGTCCTGTGCGACCCCGTGCCGCCGCTCCCCGGCGTCTCCGGCGCGGGGGACTCGGAGGTGGAGGGCGGGGAAGGTGCGGAGGGCGCGGGGGTGCGCTTGCGCGGACTCCTTCGTGCGGAGGGCGACGGGCGGGAACTGGATGAGAGGGGAGGGGAGGGGGAGGGGGAAGGCGGAGAGGGCGCGGAGGTCCGGTGTCGTCGACTGCCTCGCGCGGAGCTCTCGGAGTCGGATGATGGGGGAGGGGAAGAGGAGGGGGAGGGTGAAGGCGGGGACGGTGCGGAGGGTGCGGAGGTTCGGTTGCGTCGACTGCTGCGCGCGGAGGGGGAGGGGGAAGGCGAGGAGGGAACGGAGGTACTGTTGCGCCGACTGCTTCGCGCGGAGGTCGAGGAGTGGGATGAGCGGGAAGAGGAGGGGGGGGGCGAAGGCGGGGAGGGCGCAGAGGGTGCGGAGGTTCTGTTGCGTCGACTGCTTCGCGCAGAGCTTGAGGAGTGGGATGAGCGGGATGACCGGGATGAGCGGGAAGGAGAAGGGGAAGGCAATAAGGGCGCGGCTGTCCGGCTGCGTCGACTGCTTCGCGCGGAGGTTGAGGAGTGGGATGAGCGGGATGCGGGGGATGAGCGAGATGAGCGGGAAGGGGAAGGAGAAGGCTTGGAGGGCGTAGAGGGCGCGGAGGTACTGTTGCGCCGAATGCTTCCCTCGGAGGTCGAGGAGTGCGATGAGCGGGAGCGGGATGCGCGAGAAGGGGAGGGGGAAGGCAAGGAAGGCGCGGAGGTCCGGTTACGCCGACTGCTTCGCGCGGAGGACGAGGAGCGGGATGAGTGGGATGCGGATGGGGAGGCGGAGCTAGAAGAGCGGGAGGCGGTGCGGGAGGCGGAGGCGGAAGCGGAGGGGGAGGTCGGGGAAGACTTTCCCCGTTGAGACCTGCTTATGACAGGTCGCGATGACGAGGACGCTCCTAGCGAGACATCAACAGTGATTGAGACCGCCACGACCGCCACGAGCAGCGCTACCGCCCATGGCGACGAGAGGAGCAACGGAGGGCGCGTCATTATTGGGAGTTGAGGAAATCAACGAGAGACTAGGAAGCCCTTGGGAATGAATGATAAAAGAAACCAAGGAGCTGGTGGTGACGAGGAAGGTGCTCCGAGGCGCGAGCTTTAAAAGAGGTGTAGGTGAAATTCGGGTTGACTCAAAATACACGTGGAAGGCGGTCCGAAGCGAAGAATCGGACGACGAGTGTCGTGCTGATTTTGCAGCATCGACAGCTACGGTGACCGTGACGCAGTTTAGTTCGACTAATAGAGGCTGAGAGACGGTCGAAGACTGCTAGGCGCAGTCTTGCAGACTTGCAGACTAGTAGATAGCACTACGAGTACTGGCTCCTAGGCGTTCGCATAAGACGCTAGAGCAGAAGGCAACTGATGCCTGCTGGGCGAGCTCCCGCTTTCACACTGCAAGGAGCAGAAGCGCATGTGGCGTGAGCGCCTGGAATTGGTCGGTAGGAAGGAACGCGGAGAAATGGGCCGAATAGGATTTTCGGATTCCTCACCTAGAACTGGACAAACTGACACAAGCTCTCTTGGCCGACTCGTCTCCGAGTCAAAACGCAACTCACTCCAGTCGGGGTGGACCGTGGAAGGCGGCGTTCTCGGTAGACTCGGCTAGGCGTGTGGCGAATGGTGTTGCTATGACCTGCCCCTGCCCTCTTCAAATCAGCATTTTTATTCCTTTGCGTCGTCGACATGTTCTTCAGAATAAGACAAAGATTTCCGCCATGGGCGCGCCACCACACACTTCGCGAATCACAGCTGGTGAAAGATACGAGGGAGTCGAGGCGAGGCGAGGATTGAGGGGGGAGCAAGCTTTGAGGTTGAGAGACTGATCGACTCGACTCGACTGGAGGGGAGGGAGGGGAGGGAAGAGAAAGGGGAGAACACAACACAACACAACACACATAGCGGTACAGTACAATACAGAGCACGACCACTGCGCTCCGCTCCGCGCCGCCTGCGGGGAGGCGGCATGGTTGACCGCCCCTCACTCGATGCTCATTGCAGGATCGTGGTTGGTCCCCTCGAGTCGCGGATTGATGTGAAACTGCTGGCGGAGGGCGCGACTCGCGGCAAACTGGGGTGAGGCGGAGACAGACTGGACGTGCAGGTTTTGAAAATTGCAGGCAAAAGGCGTACAGATCCATCCAGGAATAGTTCAGCTTCACTCGTATGAATTACAATATTTGCATTAAAGAGTTATCATGTACATAGTAGGTAAGGATTTACAGAATCCTTACTGATGCACTCGTCAGCAAGGACATCCCGAGGGTCACGCGACGAACCTGTCCTTCCTATTTCGTCGCACCGAACCACCCCCGAATCGCCTCCGCACCAATCGCATCCATCACCGAGCCATCCTCGCCCAACCTCCCCGTCTTGCTAGGACTTCCCCTATTTAGGCCTCGTCACTTCCATTGTATCGTCATTCAGTAATTCAGTACTCAACAATTCTCGTTATTCGTTTTACTGCGCACTCAGCAAGTTCATTCATAACACCTGGTATCAGAGCTACTTTCCTAGCCTACCCCGTTTTTTAGAGTGTAATATTCCTTGGGGGGGGGGGGGGGGGGGGGGGCGAGGAAGGATGTCCTGGGGTCCAGGAGTTGCGTAGGCCGGCCAAGAGAACGGGTTAGTTGCTCTTCGCGGCCATGGATTTATCGCGCACTCCTCGGTACCGCCGGATCCTTGCCTTCGACAGTCGGGATCGACCGTGGCCTCCCTCGCCCCGGGCAACGGACAGCTGAAGCTGTCGCGACATTGAACGCGAGTTATTTCCGCTGCGTTCCGACGATTTCGGAGTTGATTTTTGAGTGGCAGCTGTCCTGCGTCGGCATCTGCACGAAGATTTCGGAGTCGTCGTCTGGTGCGGCAGTTGGCGTGGTTGTTCTTCAACGTGCGCGCGAGATTTTCGGAGGTTTCTACTGTGAAGAAAAGGGCAGCTCGAAGAACTCGCCAGGCGCAAATGGGGTTTTGCGTCAGAGGATCCCGACGGCTGGGAGAGAAAGACGCTCGAGCCGCCCGAATTAAGAGGGGGTTGAGCTTCATCACGTCCGACCGGATAGTACGGCGCTTACCGTACTGGCGTGCGAGTCGTCGACGATTTTCGGCAGAAGTGCTTGTGGACAGACGGGAACTTTGGACCCGCCTACACTTACGGGCTGCAACAGACAACGACGTGGCTGAATCGCACTTAGCGGGAGTGGGGCGCAGGCGCGAGGGCATATCGGGACTGAACACACGAAAACTACTCGTTGGGACTGAACACACGAAAACTACTCGTTTGTTGCTGCGTGCCTGGAGTTGCTTGCCAGCTGCTCGACAGTTTCGAGATCGGTTTCCCCGTTCAAGGAAGCCGATTTCGGGGACAGCCACAGCAGCCCACGATTAAACGGTGTTCAAGGTGCTACCCCGACAATTTCGGAGTGTGGTGCAGGCCGCCGGGACACGCGAAAAGAGACTGCCCAACGGCTAAGCGGGGGTTGAAGAACGTCGTGGGGAGCAGATTAAGGCGGGCTAGGTGAAACAGCACGCGAAAAAATCGGGGCGCCGCACGGACAACATTGGTGCAGTTCGCTGGTTTCTCCTGACCCGGGCGTCTTCACAAGGTGACGTCGCAGCGGCGAAGCAGGGACCGGGAGCTGTGGAGTTTAGTGGCGTGAAGTTTGCGGTGGGCTGCAAAACGGTTGGGCGACAGTTCCTTATAAATAAGGGTCCCCGACTCCGATAGTTTTTGCCCCGCCACCGTAGACGGGTTCGCGCGGGCAACACCGACTATACCCCATCCGACAAAAGCGGACGCTGGGTGAACGGCGAGAAGCGGAAATGTCGGGGGGTGAAACGACAAAAAAAAAAATATGAAGCTGCGGGTATTTCTTCGCTTCTTGGAGTGAGGTTGAGCCGTTGGGGACTTTGCCTGAAATGCACTTATCGAAGTAGCCTGGCAAGAAACACAGCAGCAAGGAGACCTAGGACCCCCGGTGTTTCAACGCACACCTCGGGAAATTCTTCAGAAAAAAGGGAGCGTGGGAGCAGTCGTAGCTTCGGGAACTTATCGACCGGCGACGAGCGATGCGGTGAAACATCTGCAAAGCGCTGGTGGGAGAAACGTGGGTTTTTGTTAAACAGCATCGGCGGGAGCAGTTTCGACAACGGAGTCAACGGCGTTGATGCCACTAGGTTCCGTGAAATTCGGTCTCGGAATAACCAGGGGTTCCCCGGTTCTCGATTGAGCCCACATGCTGGGGTCGGGTAACCGACGGAAACTGATGGTGACCGAGTGGGCGGCTATAGCACGTCTGAGATTTTCGGAGGCGAACTGCAACTGCAACTGCGGATTCACGGGGTCTGATTCGAGCGACAATTTCGGAGTGTTTACGTAGAGACTTACCAGTTTTACGGCAAGAAGCGCCGACAATTTCGGAGGAGTTGCGGCGTTTTGGTTAAACGCGCGCGTCAACGAAGTGGGGCAACACCGCGAGATTTACACGGACTTTCAAGGGGTATGAACGACTTACGACGAACTGAAGAAGGCGGCAGCAACAGTGGAGGGGGGGAGAGACAGCTGCATTTTTTCATCTCTGCCCAGGAGCCCTCGGCGCACTACGACAAATGGCTCGGCGAGTCTGGACAAAACTGTCAAACATTATATATGTTCTGCTTGTGTAGGCTACAGTGGGTTAGCCTATAGGGGGTACACAATTCTAGGGTTTCCTACTTGTACTCATTTCACTGCTAGTTCATTCATTCCTGTTCGCTTATTCTCACATGGTATAGAGCGGGTCCTTCTACGGACCGTTTTTTTTTGGGCCCACCGAAGCGCCCCCCGAGGCGCGATTTTTTTTTTTTAGCGACCCCTCGGGTCGTCATTTTCCCTGCGGCCCCGCCGCTTTCACTGACGCGGCCCCGCCGCCCTCTCTGACGGGGCCCCGCCGCCGGCCCTTACGCGGCCCCGTCACCGGCTCTCACGCGGCCCCGCAGCAGGCTCTGTCGCGGCCCCGCCCCGGCCTTTACGCGGCCCCGCCGCCTGCTCTCACGCGGCCCCGCCCCGGCTCCTTCGCGGCCCCGCCGCCTGCTCTCGCGCGGCCCCGCCCCGGCTTCTACGCGGCCCCGCCCCGGCTTTCACGCGGCCCCCGCCGACGGCTTTGTCGCGGCCCCGCCCAGGCCCTTACGCGGCCCCGCCGCCTGCTCTCACGCGGCCCCGCCCCGGCTCCTTCGCGGCCCCGCCGCCTGCTCTCGCGCGGCCCCGCCCCGGCTTCTACGCGGCCCCGCCCCGGCTTTCACGCGGCCCCGCCGACGGCTTTGTCGCGGCCCCGCCCAGGCCCTTACGCGGCCCCGCCGCCTGCTCTCACGCGGCCCCGCCCCGGCTCCTTCGCGGCCCCGCCGCCTGCTCTCGCGCGGCCCCGCCCCGGCTTCTACGCGGCCCCGCCCCGGCTTTCACGCGGCCCCGCCGACGGCTCTGTCGCGGCCCCGCCCAGGCCCTTACGCGGCCCCGCCGCCTGCCCCCCGTCGCGGCCCGGTCGCCTCCTGACGGCCCCGCCGTCCCTTCGTGACGGCCCCGCCGTCCCCTCCTGACGGCTCCTGCCGTCCCCTTCTACCGGCCCCGCAACTGCACCTGAGAGGCCAGCAGAGGGGTGGCAGGTGTGTGGCCTCCCCTGCTTCTCCTCCTCCTTCATCTCCCACTACAGCAGCCGAGCCGCTCACCTGCAGCAGCCGAGCCGCCCCACCGCCGAGCCGCCCTGCACCCGAGCCTCCCAGCAGCCGAGCCGCCCTGCCGCCGAGCCGCCGGGTCGCTGAGCTGCTGAGCTGCAGTTGCTGCCGAGCCGCCCTGCCGCCGAGCCGCCGAGTCACCGAGCTGCTGAGCTGCAGTTGCTGCCGAGCCGCCTTACCGCCGAGCCGCCCGAGTCGCCCGAGCCGCCGAGCCGCCGAGCTGCCGAGCCGCTGAGTCGCCGAGCCTACTCTTCCCAC